GCTTTGTTGTTAAGCCATTTGGAGTTGGATTTTCCGTGTCTATCAACTCGCATCTAGAAATACTCCTACGATAAGCATGGGAGGAGCTAAGGCAGGTGTGGGGTCCTTACTCTCTGCCAGGATCTGAGCCATCAGGCCTGCAACCTGAGGAGCGGGCCCAGTCTCCACACATTCTTAGCCGTGACTCCTGAGCCAGCGTGGACAGGTGTCGCTCGGCTCAGCTGCGGGGGGGGGGGGAGTGTGAGTGGGATGGTAGCTCCGGGTTTTCAGGAACAGCATCTGCACAGCCTCTCAGATTAGCACAGCCGCGTGTTCTGTCTCCTGCCTCGGGCCTAGTCTCATCCTGCGCATCATGGCAATGCCAGGGAGTCAGATGGGGTGGGCCGGCCCGGCCCAACCAGTGTCGCGGTCTTCTCTCCAGGCAGGACGAAGCCATTTCAGGGAGGTCCTGGTGGTGGAGAACAAACCTGGAGGTCCTCAGCACGGTACGCTCATGGTCGTCGGCCCGGCCACCAGTACGGAATGAAGACCAACGCAGCAGTGTGCACGCGTACGTGCTTATAGCAGGACAGGGCGAGCGCCTGAGGAACACGGCAGCGGGGGGGGGGACCCGGGACACAGGCGTGCTCACGGCAGGGCACTTGGTACGGAGATTCTGGGAGCGGCGGGATAATCGGATTGTACCCAGTGCTTCCACTTCCAGGGATCGATGCCATAACGATACGTACGCGAACAGGGAGGTCGCTGCACACAGATGTCCAGTAAACCATGAAGATGAAGCAAAATAATCACAAAGCAATAACGGCGACGAGAACCCCAGTACACTAGAGAAATTATACCATTGACGCGCAGCTAGGAGGAATGAGGTCCCGCTGTAAAGGCAGAGGACACGAAGTGCCACGGAGCCAGGTCTGAATGTATGTCTTTTTGGGAAAACCAGGCTGGGTCAGTTCACCCCAAACTTGCGGCCGTGGCCAGCTCTGGAGGGCCTACCCTGGGACCCAGGAGGCCTCGCAAGGCACCCCGGGGCAGCGGGACGGGTCCTTCCAGCCCTGCAAGGCCACTGCCCGGCCACACGGCAAATGGGCTCCCAGCCTCGGCCCGTTGCCACCCACTGTGGCTTGAACCTGTTGTGATCTTGGCGGCAAAGTGGGACCCAGCAGCTGGGCCTTAGGAGTTCACCCGCAGACCACAAGGCAGCCGGGCAGGGCAGGGAGGAGGCCCCAGAGGAATGAGAGCGGAGCACGGGGAGCAAGGCCTGAGTCCCAGGACGCAGGGGCAGGGCAGCCACCAGGGCAGTGCCCAAGTTCCTGGGAGGACAGGAATGCCAAGTCCACACCGAGAGTCCAGGGTGACAGAGGGCTCCGGGGACATCTGAGGCTCCTGGCCGTCCCCAAGCTGGCTGAGCCTTGAGGCTGGTAGTGGGCTTCCCGGGAGGCGCGCGGCCCGAGGGCTGGCACGGGAGTGTGCGCGGGGTGGCAGGAGCCTGCATCGGGGAGCGCGTGGGGTTCAGCGGGAGCGCACGAGGCCCCATACCACCTCCAGCGACAGCACAAGGGAACCACCGGTGCCCGCCGGCTTTGGGCCGCACAGACCCCGGGTCTGGGCCAAGCATGCACCGTGGAGAAGCGCTGGGAGGGAAGGCGGAGGCAGCCTTTACTCTCCCCACGCCCTGGAGCCCCGGGCGCCGCTGCTGGGGTGCCCCCGCGTGTGGGGGCTGCACCCTTGCTCCTCCGGGGATGTTCCAATGAGGCCGCCCCCCAGGGCCTCTGGGGTCGGAGCTGCCCGGACCACATCCCGGAGCTGCTGCCACGGCGGGCGCGGGGGTCGGGACCGTCTCAGCCTCTGCGCTGTGCAAAGGCGACACAGCAGGACCTGCCTCTGGAGGAAGCTGGTCATGGCTCTACCTGGGGACACCCCAGACCCGCACCTGCTGCCGCTTTGCACACGGGACACTAAGTTGGACGAGCCTGAGCCCAGGGAGCCTTCAGGCACAGACCCATACACGCGATACCCGTGCACACATGTGCAGACTCACATGCACACATGGACACCAAAAGCACACATATGCACAAGTGTACACGTCTGTGTGCACACGCACCTCACACACTTGAAGGCACACACAAGCACACACAGCAATACACACATCACAGGCACATAAGTGCATGATGCGAAAATGTGCAAACCCACACACGCTCACAGACATGTGCGCTTACACGTGTGCACACCCACAGCCCTCACTAGCTGGGTGGAGCTCCAGCTGTTTCCTCAGCCTCTGCCACCGCTGCCAGCAGCTGGCCGGACCCCCTGGACCCAGCTGACCCCGCCCTGGGGCCCAGACAAGGCCGCTGAGACTGGTGCTGGGCGTCCTGACCCGAACACATGCCCGCTTGCCCGCGTGGCTGCCCAGCTCCATGCGCCGGCTTCTCCCCTGAGGGGCTGTAACAGAGGCTGGGTCCTTGGCCCCTTAAACCGCCCTTTGGACTGCGGGCAAATCTGAGCAATGGGTTCACACCAGAGCACGCGCAGTGGTTGTGCAGCTTAACAGGCTCTGCCTTTCGAGCCCAGGGCCTGACGTCCGCAGAGTGTCGGGAAGTGTGGGCTCCTGGCCTGAAAGGGAACTAACTGCAGACTTCTCTTCAGCACTGGGGAAACGGAGGCTGGGGCAAAGTAGCGGGATGACGCGGCTCCCGCTGCGCTTCACGGCGCCCTGCACTCCTGCCCCGGCTCACCCTGTGCGCCGGGCTGGCGGGCTGGCGCCACGGGCCTGCAGCTCGCTCCCAGGAGTTCCCGTCGTCCTATCACACCCAGGGCTTCCCTGCCCCGGAGGAAACCACAGACAGGATCCTATTACTGTAACTGAAAATTAATGGACTGCCGGCGGCGGTTCTAAAAGAAAAGCAAATTGTCTGAATAGTTTAGGTGGAGTAATAAAGGGCCGCCTGGGGGCCCAGTGGGTGTGCGTCTGTCCGCCTTCAGCCCAGGGTGTGACCCCGGGTCCCGGGATCTAGTCCTGCATCCGGCTCCCCGGAGGGAGCCTGCTTCTCCCTCTGCCTGTCTCATGAATAAATATATTTTTTTTTTAAAAGATGGAGTAATAGAACGTTTCCAATTTGTAGCTCCGCGTTCTGCAGCACTCACCGCTTCACCACCCAGATTCCGCTCTGCTCAGCGAGCGCTTTCTCCTGTCATCCGGACACTACAAGAGCCTTGAGGAGGAGGAAGGAGCTGCCCTGTGTTGCCCTGTCCTTGGAAGGCCCCCCCTCTGGTCTTGGCTCCCGGACGTGTCCCTTGCTCTGGGGATGAACCTCGCCTCAGACCTCCCGGAGCCTAGGGCAGTGGGTGATCCTGATCAACTTTCATGCTTTGTGATCAGGAAACATTCAGCCTCCACTGGTTGTCTGGTCTGGCTGGTGCCCAGTGCTGGTCCCAGTTGTGCTGTGCCAGGACAGCCTCCTCTCCCCTCCCCTCCCCCCCTCTCCCCTCCTCCCCGCCCCTCCTCTCCGCCAGCATCCGCTCAGCCTTCAGAGCCCACCTCCTCCAGGAGGCCCACTGTAAATGCGGCACACGGCTCTCACTGTCTGAACCTGGGGAGGCAACACTGCTGACCCCAGGCTCTTGTGCTGAAATCTAGTCTCGTATTGCCACTGTGTAGACACTGGTGTGCCTGTCATTCCCGTCTTTCCCGTGAGTGCTTCTGGCTCCTTCCTGAGGGTTTCCTCTGGGGCAGGAAGGTGCAGATGCTCAAGCCGGCACAGGCAGGCGGGGAGTGCTGGGAGGATGAGCACTGGGGCAGCTGTCACCCAACAACCAAGGGAGATGCTGCGACCCCACTGTGGGCCCACAGAGGCTGCGGTGGAGCAACTGTCTTACTGTGGGTGGAAAAATAAATGGTACACACACACACACACACCTGGAAGACTGGCAACTTTGTGTAAAGTTCAAAGGACACCCACCCATCTCCCAGCAATTTTCCTTCTAGGGGACTACACGAGAAGAATCGAAAATATGCCCTCAAAAAAGCTGGTAGGCGAATTTCAGAGCATCTTTATTCGTGACACGGAAAACTTAAAAGTGACTCCAGTGTCCAGCAGGTGAATGGACAGACGAGGGGACTGCACGCAGCGGAATACTGTTCAGCGATGCAAAGGAGCGGCGGCGGCCACTGCAACATGGATGAGTCCCCAAACGCCGGCTGAGTGGACGGCTCGGTAGGTGGCCCTCCTGTGCCAGGCCTGGGACAGACCCGCAGCCAGGGGGTCTTGGTCAAGCCGCGGAGCGAGCCACTGGGAGGACACTCTGCGTTTATTTACAGATGCCTACACCAGCCGAGCTAAGAGGTGAGGACCTAACCCTACGGTGGCTGCTGCGACCCAGCGGTCCCTAACGGTGACCTGATGGCGGTGGCCGCCCGGGGCATGCAGCCGTCAGGTCATGGCCCTGGACATCTCACAGCCTGTACTTACACCCTAATAAAAACGTCACACGTGATCCTTCCAAAATCCACAAAAAAGCACCGAGTGCAAAGCAAACCGAAAATCATTTGCGGGTCCCCTCGTCCCGGGACCAGCTCTTCTAACAGGCTCCGCCGCTCGGGGCCTCGCGACCCCGGTCCCGCCCCCACGGCGGCCCCAAGGGCGGGGGTCTCGGCGGGTCCGGGCACGGCCCGGGGCTCGGTCCCTCCCAGGCGGGTCCCCCCTGCCTGCGGCCGTCCTGCTCCCGCTGCACCTCCCGCTGCGCTTCCGTGTCCGCCGCTGTGGGCGGGCCAACCCCGGCCCCCGCGGGACCCTGAGCCCGGCCCCCCCGCCCCGCCCCGCCCCGCCCCGCCCCGAGGCCGGCTCCGAGCCCCGCGGTGCGCGACGCCGCCCCCGCGTTCCCATGGCGACGGGGGCGGGGCCGCGCTGCCGCTCGGGGACGGAGGCGGAAGTCCCGCCCCTCTCCTCCCCTCCCCTCCCCTCCCCCGGCTTCCCGTGATGCCCCGCGAGGCGCAACGTAGCCGGAAGCGGGTGGCGGCGGGGCGGGCGGCGGGCGCGCGTCCCCGGAGCAGCCTGCGGCGCGCCCGACCGCGGACCCGACGGACCCGACGGACCCCGGCGCGCGGGATCGAGCCCGGACCCCCCGGTAGGCGCGCGGCCCTTCGCCCCCGCCCTGGAGCGCCCCCGCAGCCCGCCCGGCCCCGCTGCCGCACAGACGGCCCCAGGCCGGAGCTCAGGCTCCTCCGCCCGGCGGGTGCGGGGAGGCGGCCCGGGGACCCGCGCTGCTCGCCCCGCGCGTGGACGACCCCGGGCCCCGTGGGGTGCGCGCCCCGCCGGAGGCTGCAGCGCCCGCGGAGGGCCGGCCCCACGCTCCTGCGCGCCGTGCCCGGGCCGCGGGGCCTCCGCCTCGGTGCTCGGTGCTCGGTGCTCGGTGCTCGGACAGCGGCTGTGCTGAGTGCTTCGGGCGGTCTCTGGGAGGAGCCCCGGGACCCGGCGGTGCCCCCGGTCATCCTGGGACCCAGTGGTGCCCCCGGTCATCCTAGCGACCCGGCGGTGCCCCCCCCAGTCATCCTGGGACCCAGCGGTGCCCCCCCCAACCCCCCCATCATGCTGGGACCCAGCCCACCAGTCATCCCTGGGGACCCAGCGGTGTCTGTCCGTCATCCTAGGGACCCGGCGGTGCCCCCTGGTCATCCTAGGGACCCCGCGGTGCCCCCCCCGTCATTCTGGGACCCAGCGGTGCCCCCCCAACCCCCCCATCATGCTGGGACCCAGCCCACCAGTCATCCCTGGGGACCCAGCGGTGTCTGTCCGTCATCCTAGGGACCCGGCGGTGCCCCCCCCTCATCCTGGGACCCAGCGGTGCCCCCGGTCATCCTGGGACCCAGCGGTGCCCCCGGTCATCCTGGGACCCAGCGGTGCCCCCCCCAACCCCCCCATCATGCTGGGACCCAGCCCACCAGTCATCCCTGGGGACCCAGCGGTGTCTGTCCGTCATCCTGGGACCCGGCGGTGCCCCCCCTCATCCTGGGACCCAGCGGTGCCCCCGGTCATCCTGGGACCCAGTGGTGCCCCCGGTCATCCTAGCGACCCGGCGGTGCCCCCTCCAGTCATCCTGGGACCCAGTGGTGCCCCCCCAACCCCCCCATCATGCTGGGACCCAGCCCACCAGTCATCCCTGGGGACCCAGCGGTGTCTGTCCGTCATCCTGGGACCCAGCGGTGCCCCCGGTCATCCTAGGGACCCGGCGGTGCCCCCCCCAGTCATTCTGGGACCCAGCGGTGCCCCCCCCAACCCAACCCCCCCCCCATCCTGGGACCCAGCCCACCAGTCAGTCATCCCTGGGGACCCAGCGGTGTCTGTCCGTCATCCTGGGACCCGGCGGTGCCCCCCCAACCCCCCCATCATGCTGGGACCCAGCCCACCAGTCATCCCTGGGGACCCAGCGGTGTCTGTCCGTCATCCTGGGACCCAGCGGTGCCCCCGGTCATCCTAGGTACCCGGCGGTGCCCCCCCCAACCCAACCCCCCCCCCCATCCTGGGACCCAGCCCACCAGTCAGTCATCCCTGGGGACCCAGCGGTGTCTGTCCGTCATCCTGGGACCCGGCGGTGCCCCCCCAACCCCCCTGCCCCCGGTCATCCTGGGACCCAGCAGTGCCCGTCGGCCATCCCAGGGACCAAGCAGTGCCTCCTGGTCATCCTGGGACCCAGCAGTGCCCCCAAGTCATCCTGGGACCCAGCCTGCCAGTCATCCCGGGGACCGAGTGGTGCCTCCCGGTCATCCTGGGACCCAGCAGTGCCCCCCCCCCCCCCCCCCCCCGGTCATCCCTTTGAATCTCGGATGCGATCAGAGTCCCAACCCCAGGGCCAGGTTCTGCAGCTGCTTACAGGGCGGACCGGAGGGAGTGACCTCACTTGGTCAGCGTTCCCTGAAGTTACGGCCACTTGCAGGGAGCCACCTTTTACCACCTTGGTTTCAGGCACTAAAAAATCCTTGGATGGTTTTTCGAGATAAACCGTGTTTGCGGTTTTGAAAATTAGGACGCATTTCACGTATCCAAGTTAGCATTTCAGGGAGTTGAAGGTCACGCCCATCAAAACTGGTCACCGAGGAGAGTTCATTTTCAATCCAGGTCATTTCCTGTTCACAGGTCACCTGCCACTAGTTCTGCAGACTTTGGCTCTGCCTGATTTTATTTTACACAGTTAGAAATTCAGGGCACATTCAACCCAGTTCTGGCTCTCGTTTGCTTGGTGCCCCTTTCGACCAGGATGCGAACCTCTGAGGAAAGGCAGGGTTCTCTGGACAGCCCAGGGGCTGGGCATGGAGACCCGATGGGGCAGGTCCGCGTGTCAGCCCCGCGCAGCCGCCCACAGAGGGCTCTCCGGTGGTCGCCATGAGACGGACGTGTGCAGAGGGCTTTGTGAGTTCAGATCCGGCAGGATGGCCCCAAGTGTGGGTGTACCTGGGGACCCCCCCCCCCCCCGTGCAGCTCGTGTGCAGCGGCGACAAAAGTCCGTTCACTTAAAGGAGTCCGGCCGGGCGCCCGTACTCGGGAGTGTGCCCGCGGCGTCGGTTGGCCGTCTGCGTAGCACGGAAAACTGCGGAGTGCAGAGGAGTCGGAGCTGCACCTCGGGACCTCGGGTCTTGTTTGTCAGTTATGGGAAGATAACCGCGTCTGTCGTCTTCAGCTGGCTTCGGGCTGGGCGCTGACGACCACGGGAGTCCCGACCGTCTAGGTTTAGAAAGCGTGGCTGTGCAGAGTCAGGGCTGCCACCCGTGACTTGTTCCCGCGGACTGAGATGACGGGTGAGGGACGGCGCGGGATCTCCTGGCTTGTTGAGGCTGCGTGTCCGTGGAAAGCTCCAGCTCCGCCGTCGGCAGGGAGGCTGGCTGTGCAGCAGGGCAGCAGAGCGGCTGCGTGAAACGTCCAGCAGCCGTGTGGGTGTCGGATCCGTGCCACTTCCAGGGTGCTGGCGGGGTCCCCGGCGGGTGCGTGCCGCCGGGAATTAGGGCAACAGCTCACAGGCGCCATTCACAAGTGAGAGCAGGGCGAGCTTCAGAGAGGCCCCCGCACAGTTGTGCGTTGGTGGTGGGAGAGGTGCCCTGAGGCCCAGGGCCAGGTGGTGCGTGCAGGACCGTGGGGTCGCTCTGCGTCCAGCACCCTGCCTGCTCCCGTGCGCGTTCTCCAGCTTGAATCTACGTCGGTTTTCCTGGTCATGAGTCCAGTGCGCTGTTGCTTGAACTTGGGTTTTACCGGAGCTGGGAGATTTATAAAGAGAAATGGTTTTTGTCTTCAGCCTGAGTTACATGGCTCTTGTGCCCCAGCGTGTCCTTGTGAGGCATGGTGGCAGGTGTGCCCTGCTGTGGTCATGCTGTCGGTCACTTCCACCCTCCACGGGGGCCCCGTGGTTGACCGCAGGCCAACCTCTGCACACCTCCTGGTCACGGGGAGCACTTCGGCCCCACGCCACAGGCTGGGGAGGGGAAGGAAGGTACCGCGCGCAGAGAACCTGGGGTTCCCTGTCCTCGAAGGTTGCTGGCCCGAGTCTGATACGTTGGCCCTTCATTCAGGTGGGCGCCCGGTTTAGCAGCCAGTCTGTACGTCATGTAGAGGTCGGCCCTTGCTGTGGGCTGCACCACAAGGTGGGGGGGACATTTTGTAAATTCTGTAGTGTTGGCGGTTCATGACGGTTAGGCAAAGCGGACACCGATAATTACGTTATTCTCGGTAATTGCATTGTGTTTGGCCTGGAAACATCCAGACTGCTCTGGGTTTTTCTTCAGCGTGTAAGGGACAGATTCGTCCCATGAGTAGTTCCCTGGTGCTGCCTGTAGTGAGCAGTGACGTTACCCCATAGCTTCCAGCAGCTTAGTGGGATTTCTCCGAAGCTATGTGTTGTGTTTTTGCACCAATGGGTTTTCTTGTAAAGTAATCTACTTGTAAGTCTTAAAATTTTGTTTTTCTTCCCTGCAGCATCATGGCCAGCCCAAGAACCAGGAAAGTCCTGAAAGAAGTCAGGGTGCAAGATGAAAACAACGTAAGCGTCTCTGCTTTGCTTGATGCTTTGAGGTCTAGCAAACCTCCCGGAAGTTGCTTGTAGCCTCAGAGCTCTCCCTGCTGTTGTTAGGCTCGGGCCAGCCTCTCCTCTGCTCCTTCTTGGGGCCACCTGTCGGGTCTCTGGGGCTCTGGGCCCTGCCCCAAATGCCTGGGTGAGTTGCATGTGGCTCTTCCTGCAGGTGTGTTTTGAGTGTGGTGCATTCAACCCTCAGTGGGTGAGTGTGACCTACGGCATCTGGATCTGCCTGGAGTGCTCGGGGAAGCACCGCGGGCTTGGCGTGCACCTCAGGTCAGTGCCCTGCCCCTCGTGCCTTTTGGGCTCCTCAGGGATCCTGAGCCGCGGTCAGGGCCTGCTGTGGGTTGCAGGGTGACGGGGTAACACGTGCTGCCTTGCCAGCTCTGCCCTCGGAGGTGTCACGGCCAGGTGCTTCTGTCACTGGAAGCTCATGCGTCAGGTTCACGACCTGGCTGGGGTGGGGGCTCCTGGACACCCAGTGCTGACAAGTAGGTTGGCGCTCTGGTTTCTAGCTTCGTGCGCTCGGTGACCATGGACAAGTGGAAGGACGTGGAGCTTGAGAAGATGAAAGCTGGAGGGAATGCGAAATTCCGGGAGTTCCTGGAGTCTCAGGAGGACTATGACCCCTGCTGGTCCCTGCAGGACAAGTACAACAGCAAGGCCGCGGCCCTCTTCAGGGACAAGGTAGGGACCGGCCAGCCAGTGGTGCTGAGGCTCCGCCCATTGGCGGCTTGGATGGCTCTGGGAGCTGGCGTCCTCCTGTGGGTCTGACACGCCTGCGGGGGCCGCGCACAGTCTGGGACTGCGGCGCACAGACAGGACGTGTGGGCTGTCTTGTCCCACCCTGGGGGAGGCAGGCGGCGTGTAGTTAGCCGGGGAGAGGATGGGCCTTTCTCCCTGCCCTCGGGGGGAGCATCGTGTGCCGGCCCCTCCGTACTGAGACCCCGTCCCCGTGTTGACATGTGACAGAGACCCCGGCCCGTGCCCGCTGAGCCTGGAAGGACAGCGGGCAGGATGGGCTAGAGTGGGTGACATCGCCGACCAGTCCTGACGGTCCCGGCTTTCAAATCCCTGTGTCCCCTGGCAGGTAGCCACCCTGGCTGAGGGCAGAGAATGGTGTCTGGAGTCCTCGCCTGCCCAGAACTGGACCCCACCCCAGCCCAAGACACTGCCGTCCGCTGCTCACCGGTAGCTACTCCTCTGGCCTCTCGTCCGGGTCCCGGCTGTTCTGGGCCCAGCCCCGATCTTAGCCGTAGCTTGGGGCCCCCGTGCTGTTGTGGGAATGGCTCCCGTTGTGAGCTACTCCCAGGAGTCAGTGGGAAAACAGCTTCATAGGTTGTCTTCAACCTATGCGATAGGGGTTTTCAGTAAAAGCGCCCTGGAAGCTGTGTCTAGGGCCAAGGGGGCAGCTCCGCACTTCTCCATTGCCCGTTGGGACAGTGCTTTCAGATTCGAACCCATGACCGCAAGTTTCTGTAGGAAACGTCCCTGCTGGGTGGTGGTTCCATCCTTTGTCCTCCCGAGCACTACCCAGCCCCCGGAGCGCAGGCGTGGTGTGGACAGGTCGATCCCCACGGCAGACGTCCTGCGTCCTCTCAAGTGTCAGGCTGGTGATCTGCAGTGACCGGTCAGGGAAGGCTCTGTGTTTGCACCATGGGCGCCCAGGGACCCCCACCCCACGCCCGCACCGTGCATCTCGTGGGAGCTCGGTGGGCCGCTGCTGACATGCCGGCTTCAGCACCCGGCTCTCCGGCCTCTGTGCTGCCTCCCGCCAGCGTGGGCAGGCCTGGAGCAGCGGTCAGGGGCCCGTGGGGTCCTCTCTGGGCCGGAGTGTGTCCGCTTGCTGTTGCCCGCCGCGGCCAGTGAGCCGCCTTTCGGAGGTGGAGGCCAGATGGCCTTAGGTGCTCCATGCTGGGGGACGTGACAGCATGTCCTGGAGCGCCGCACGGTCCCTGCGCGTGCCTGTCCTCCGTTGACCTCACTGCCCTTTGATCCTCCCTCTCAGAGCTTCTGGCCACCTGCAGAACTCGACCTCGTCCTCAGACAAGGCTTTTGAAGACTGGCTTAACGACGACCTTGGCTCCTATCAGGGGTGAGGCGTGGGCAGCAGGGGGCTTGGTGGCTCAGGGACTCTGGGTCCCTCGGGGCTGGGGTCCTGCGTGCAGGCCGTGCGCCGCTGACTGTGGCAAATCAGGGCCAGCCCGGGTCTGAAGAGTGTGAGTGGAGGGAAAACCTCAGTTGAGGGAAAAAGAATGCTTTTCCTTCTTGGAAGCAAGCTGACCTGTGGACGCGTGTTTGTCCCCGGGGCTGTCCGAGGAAGTAATTTGACGCTTCTTGCACTAGTGGGCTGCCGGGTCGCACCGAGCTCCCTGCCCAAATGCAGCAGGAGGGTCTTCTCCGGGGAGCCGAGGAGAGCCTGCCCTGTGTGCCCGCCTCGCTGCGGACCTCATCCTTCCCGGGTCTGGGCCTCTCCTTTCTCGAGCCCCTTGGGCAGCGGGGTGCTGCCTTTCGTGTTCCTGTCAGGGCCCAGGAGAACCGCTACGTGGGGTTCGGGAACACGGTGCCGCCCCCGAAGAGGGAAGAGGACTTCCTCAGCAGCGCCGTGTCGTCCCTGTGCTCGGTGAGGACCGTCCCCTACCCTGCACCCCGCGCCCCGCAGCCCCACCATCCACGCACGCCTCCCCTCCCTCATTGAGGTTGTGCGACCGGCTTGCCGCCTTCCTTCTGGTCCCAGTGGGTGTAGCTGCTGTTAGGGGAAGCGTTTCCAGTCCGCAGGCGCGTCATCCAAAGCGGGGCACCTGCCGGGCCCTGCTCTCCCGCGAGCGCACCGGGCACATGAATCCCAGGGCTCTGCCCACCAGCCTGGCACGGGGGGCCGGGGTGGGGTGCGTGGTGCTGCAGCAGGAATGCCCGCTCCTCCCGGGAAGCGGGGCTGCGGCTGTGCACAGGGCCTCCCGGAGGTGGCCTCCCTGCGAAGCTGGGTGCAGAGTCCGTCGGCTCTGCGCTGGGCCGTGGGTGGCGTGGCCGACAGCCTGCTGGGCCGCCGCCATGGAACCTCGACGTGGCCCCTCTTGCTTCCTTGCAGGGCTGGAGCAGTTTTACCACTGGAGCGAGCAAGTTTGCTTCGGCTGCTAAGGAGGGAGTGAGTACCCGCCCCAGCACTCCACCCGCCGGCCCCTCACAGGCTGTGCTGTCTGGGGTCTGGGGGCAGAGAAGGGTCTGGAGGGCACTCCACGAGGAGTAGGGGGCGTTCCTGGCCCCCAGGCATGCTCTCGGGTCCCCGAGGCCACGGCCAGTCTCAGGGCCCGCCGTTGGCTGCTTTAGCAGCAGGCACCCGCCCGCCCATCAGGGTGAGCTGTGTGCAGAGGCCAGCCGGCTCTGGAGGGGGTGCCGTGCCAAGTCACCGCACGTTGTGAGCCCTGCGGGCAGAGGGGTCCCGCCAGCCCTCCAGCGCCTGTTGCTGGGCACAGAGCAGGATTCGTCTGACTTTTCTCTCAGTCCTGCCTGCTCCTCTGCCCAAGTGCGGGAGGGTTGGGGACTTGTCAGGACACGCAGGTGGACAGTAGCCTTGGGCTTAGAAAGGAACAGGCCAGAAACCTTTTGGGGCCATCACCCTGGGGAGTACTGGGGGGTCTGGCAGGTGTGGCCTTGGTAAGGAAGGTGCCCTGGAGAACGGAGAGCCCAGGGCAGGGTCGAGGGGCTGCCTGGCACGCAAGACCGGGACAGGAATGTTCCGAGGGCCAGGAGACGGTGGGCCAGACGGTGCCTGCTGTCGCGTGACCCGCAGGAGCCACAGGGCTGGTCCTGGGCTGGGACGAAGGCCCCACGGACACTGCTTGTGCTGCCCGTGGGTGCATGTGCCCTGCATCCTCCCCTGTCCGGCCCGGGAGGAGCCTCGAGGAGCAGCAGGCCCTGTGGAACCGCAGCTTTGGCTCGTGGCCTCTGGAGGGCTACAGCCGGGAGGCCCAGGTGCCTTCCAGCTGGAACGCCTGGCCAGGCCTTTTCCTTCTTTGTCGTGAACGTGGTTGGGGGTGAGGGTGCTGTGCTGCAGGGAGCTGTGGGACGGGGCGCACTGGGCGCCAAGTAGGTGCACGGCCTGGGCCGCAGGAACACTCATAGATGCCGGGGCTGGGGGGAGCCACTCCTGCCATGGGCCTGCTTCCTCCGGCCTGTGTGCTGCGGGCTTGCCCCTCCCGACGGCCTCCCTCCCTCGGGGCCTGGCCTAGCGGGCAGCTTTGCTGGACCCCTGGGGGCGTGGCTGACGGGACAGGCCTGGACTGGGCGTTTGTTGAGGGTGGGAAGCGCAGCCTGGGGCCGGGCGTCAGGACAGGCGAGCTGGAAACCCTGTGTCTCTTTCCAGGCAACCAAATTCGGATCTCAAGCGAGTCAGAAGGTAACAAAGGAAGCTTCTGCGTTTTGTGTTGCTAAAATTTCTAGTGTGACGTCTGGTTGGCGTCTGGACGCTGCCCGGGCTGCCATCGTCAGGCCCTGTGCTTGGAGAGGGGACGTTTCTGCAGCTCAGGCCTGTGCTCACAGACTTGTGCCCCGGCGCCTGCGGGTTTAGCAGGTGGGGTGGGAGGCTGCGTCTGTCGGGGCCTGTGGGGCAAGGCCAGGGTCCCTTGTCCATCCTTGCCTGGGCACCCGGCCGGCCGGACGGCTCCTGTGTGGTTCCTGCCCGCGGGGGGAGGGAAGCCTGGTAGGGCCGAGGGCCGTGGGGCAGCCCCTCCTTGGGGCGGTGGGTCTGGGTTCTGCGGAAATACCTCGGTTCCCCGTTAGTTTCTCACTGTAAGTGGTGGTTTGGGGTGGTCGGTGTTTGTCTTTTTTTTCCAATCTTGGTTGGTGGCCCTGCAGTCCCCAGGTGGTGCCAGGGCGCTGGACTGCCTGTCCCCCGGTGTGGGGGTTAGGACTCGGGCCGGAGGCAGCAGCCCTACAGGCTGTCCCAGGAGGGAGGGCAGTCGCTCTCCGTGCGTGGTGCGCCCCCGTTTGGGGTTCCTGACTTGCTCACGTAGTTCTGGAAGTTGTACCTCAGAGTAGAATAGAAAGCAGCGAGGGTCGGTGGTAGTAGGTGGGCACCGAGGGCACTCTTGAGGACGCCCGCTGGGGTGACGCCACCAGAACGTGAGGCTGATTAAGGTGTCTGGAGGTGCTTCCTTGTTGCTCGTGCGCACTCTGCCTCTCACTCTCTCCCTCTCCCCCCCCCCCCGCCCCAACCTGCTCCCTTGCTATCTGGGTAAAGTTTTGGGGCACCAAGCAGCAGCCCGAGCTGGTAAGGCACCACGTCCGTTCTCGTGCATGCCTCCCCCGTTCTCTGTGCTGCCCACGTGCTTTGCCCTGAGCGTTCCTGGCCCGTGGCCCGTGTGTGTCCTCGCTTACGTGTGCTCGCCCTCAGAGCTTCTCACCAACCTGCTGGGGCCGGGGCCGGGGGCACTGCTCCTGTTGGGGTGCCGGGAGCTGTGTGGCAGGATTTTCATTTCATGACCTCATCACTTCCTGCTAAGTACGCAGAGGGGCTGTCATCGCAGTGGTGAGGTGCTGACGCTGTGCGCTTGCCCTGTGCCTCGAGGCTGCTGCTGCTTGGTGCTCTCCCTCTTAGCTGCCCCATCGCCCCGCTGCCGCCCCACCCACCTTGGCTCATCCTCTGGCTCTGTCCCCTTCCTTCTGGGTCAGGTGGCCGCTGGAGGGCAGGTGGGCTTCAACCTCATCCAGTGACCAGAGGTGCACTGCCTGCACTCCAGCTGAAGGGTAGCATGTGACCTGCTGCAGCACGTGGGCCGTCCTGGGGATGGGACTGCGTGGCTCTGATGGGAAGACCCACAGGTGGCCGCTGGGTGGGATGGACTCCCGAGGCCTTGCTGCCACTCTGGGCCTCTTCCCTCCAGAGCGCGGAGGCCTGGGGCAGTGGTCTCTGGCCGCCCCATCGCCACGGTGACTGCGGGCCACTTCCGCGCAGCTGCCTCAGGCACCGCGGCTGCCATGACAGTGGGGTGGGGGCCTCCTGGGTGCTGGGCTCGTGGCCACCGTGCCGACCAGTGTCCTGGGTGACATGCTGCCCGAGCTCACCTGACTTCCCTCTCATCAAACAGGCTTCAGAGCTGGGCCACAGCCTGAACGAGAATGTTCTCAAACCTGCGCAAGAGAAGGTAACGCCCCCGATGCCCGGTGTCCCTTGTCTGCCCCCCACCCCCCTGTGGCCCTCATTCCAGGGGAGCAGTGGGTGCTGGGGGGCTTGTCCAGCAGTCCCAACTCCGTCCACTGGGCCCCCATCCCTGGGCTCCGTGAGGCACAGCCTTGTGCTCCATTCCTCAGGGTGGGCTGGGTGGGCAGCGCGGAGGTGGCTGACGGCCAGGGAGCCCCCCCAGCAGACTGGGGCTCGGGGGGCGGTGCCGACCTGTCCGCAGGACATTGTGGGTGACCCAGAGGCTCCCCAGGAAGACGCCACATTACAGCAGCCTGGGCACGGTCGGCCCCTTCACGCGTGGGGAGGGGGCTGCCTGGGGGAGACGTCGCACACAGCTGCCGCCACAGCTCTTTCTGGCGTGCACTGTCCTTGGTCAGAGACGGCGACGATGGGCTCTGTGCCCCTGGGCTGATGGCAGTGTTTTAACCCACGCAGGTGAAAGAGGGAAAGATTTTTGATGATGTGTCCAGTGGGGTCTCTCAGTTGGCGTCCAAGGTAGGGCAGGCCCTGGAGCTTGGGCGCAGCTGGAAGCCAGTCTCCACATTCCAGGGCGCCCGGGCCGAGAGCAGGAGGGCTCTTCGCGCCCCGCACGCTCCCGCAGCCTGGGTGCCCGCCAGGTGCCCACTGGGCGGTGAGGCAGCTCAGCTGAGCGCTCCGGTGCCGGCTGCCCGAGGAATGTGGACACAGCTTGGTGGGGGGCCCTGTCAGGTCTGCTAACTGTTGCTTCTTTTTCTTCTGCCTTCGTTGTGCCGCCGCTGCCCTGCCCTGGTGAGTGCCATCTGACGGGCCGGGGCCTCGCTGTCTTCTAGGCGGGTTGGGGTGCGCATGGCCCCCCCTCCCCAGCCTGCCGCAGGGGCTTTGCTTGCATGCTGTTTCCTCGAGCTGAGCACTAGGGCCTCCCGCCGCCACTACTGTGTGCACACCGGGCGTCCCCTGCACCGTTCCTGTCGGGAGGAGCATACGAAGGCCTCGGGCCTGAGCCCGGCCATGCTGCTCGGGTCTCTAAGCTTTCCCGGGACCTTGAGCGGGACCGTGTGTGCGTTGTGAGGACCCACCCTGAGCAGCCACCTCCCATCCCCTTCCAGGTCCAGGGGGTCGGCAGTAGGGGATGGCGGGACGTCACCACCTTTTTTTCTGGGAGAGCGGAGGACACGTTGGACAGGTATGCTGGTCCCCCATCCCCGCCCTCGTGCCCTGGGTTCCTTCCTACAAGGTCTCTGAGAGGCATTCGGCATCCCCGCTGGCGGACAGGCCTGTCACCCCCAGGGGCGGCTCCCAGAACCCTAGAGATACTGACCTTGTGGCTACGGCTGCCGCTCGGGCCTGGAGACGAGAGGGGCCAGTGCTGATCTCACTGTCTCCCATCTTGGGCTGGTGGGGCCGGCAGGGGCCCCGCAGCAACCCCATCCCCGCCCTCACTGTCCACACCTGTGTGCTGAACCCCGATCTGGCTAGGGCTCCCCTACTCCAGCTGCAGGGTAGGGGGTGGGAGCTGGCCGTGGTGGGGGCCACTGCTCAGCGGGGCCCATCAGGCTTGACAGCGCGCTCAGGGCTGCGCTGTTCCGTTAGTCGCTGTGGAAAACCAGCCTCGTACCTTTTCCTTCACAACACGCTCCTTTTGGGGTGGGACTGATGGAGCCGGGCCTGGCTGGCAGGAGGCCCACCCAGATGCTTCCGGCGGGCTCTGTGCACACAGCATCTTCCAGGCCCCGTGCTCCTGTGGGCATCGTGGCCTGGGGGCAGGACCCCGAGGGACGGCCTGGTGGCTCGGGCTGTCGTTCAGCGTCCTCCTGTCTCCCCCAGGCCCCTGGAGGGCCAGAGCTACCAGAACAGCGGTGGGGACCACCTCCAGAACCGCACCATGGACCAGAGCTTCTGGGAGAGCTTCGGGAGCACGGACCCTGCCAAGGGCCACAGGTCCCCGAGCAGCGACAGCTGGACGTGCGCGGACGCCTCGGCTGAGAAGAGGAGCTCGGACAGCTGGGATGTGTGGGGCTCGGGCTCCGCATCCAACAATAAGAACAGCGACCACAGCGACCTCGGGGAGGCATGGGGGGGCGGCGGGGAGGGCAGAGCCAAGACCGCCAAGAAGGCTGTGCCGCCGGCTGTGCCGGTTGACGAGGGCTGGGACAACCAGGACTGGTAGGCGCGCCGTGCCCGGTGCCAGCAGCGGCCCGTGTGTGCACTCTGCCCTCATGCCTCCTTGTGTGACCCCAGAAACCAGTCGTGGCGCCAAGACAGCACCTCGGGTGGGCGCGGGGGTGGTGCTGCTGGCTCACATGGGCGCCCGCCCTGCAAGGCCACGTGCTGCCCACGGTCCGGGTCCCGGCTCTCCCCTGGCTCCTGGGCAGCCCGCTGAAATCTGGCCGGGGCGACGCGGAGGGCAGGGTCTGCCCCCGCGGGACGCAGGCCGCACCGTCGTTCCCGTACGTCCTCTAATAAACCCTCCCGAGTGGCCGCAGCGCAGCCCGTGCAGTGTCCTGTGTGAGGCACGTGTCCTGAGGCGAGGGGTCCAGGCTTGTTCCAGGCCGGCCTTCCCGCGTGAGGGGCGTGCGCAGGGTCCTCCCCCGCTTCCCTGCCTGTGCCGCTGTCCTGCGCTGTCCCCTACCCCTGGGCCCTTTGTCCGTGGTTGCACCGAGCCATGCTCCTCGGAGCCGAGGCAGCGCCCCCAGGGTGCCCCAGACGGCTGCGGGACCAGGACGTGAAGTGAGGCATTGGGGGGGAGCACACGCCCTCTGAGCCCGGCCTGGGGGCCCCTGGCGGCAGGGGGGGCTCCTCGACCCGCACGGTGTCCGGGGAAGGGCTGCGTTTCTGTCGGGTGGGTTGTGGCCGCCCTGTCCCTGCCGGCTCCGCGCTGTGCCATGGCGGTGTCCCTGCTGTGCCCCTGGCTCGGCTCGCGGTGTCGCGTGGGTCTCCTTGTCCACCGGAACCTACCTGGCACCGAGCCCCATCTCCGCCGTCCACTGCTGACGAGGGGCCTTTCTCCCGTCAGTCTGACAACTGACCGAGGCTGTGGTGGGTCCTCCGTCCGTGCACCCCTTCGCTGGCCCCCATGATGCCGTCGGCCCCGCTGTGACTGCGGGTGTGGCCCCGGGTCCTCCTGTGTGATTTGCGTGGAATGTGCACACTCCAGGCCCTGGCCGCTGCTGGCCCTTCACGTCCTGGGACGGGCCCTCCCAGCGTGGGCGCCGCCAGCCAGGCTGCAGCAGCAGGGTCGGGTGTGGGGGTGTCTGGGCCGCGGTCGCAGAGGGGCCACCCCGGGCCAGTCCCCTAGCCCACGGCTCTCTCCTGAGGATGCACGGTGTGGAGCACCCGTGTGTGCGGCAGCGGCGTAAGGATCTCGGTCACTGACCCAGCTGCCTGCTGCCCCCGAGGCCAGGAGCTCGGGGTTCGGGGAAGCCCAGGGCCGATGGTCAGCCTGCCAGCCACGACCAGGCATCCCGGGGTGATGGTCCTCAGAAGAGCACAAGGTGTGCCTGGGCCGCCCTCCGGGTGGGAGCTTGTCCCTTGGCCGGCGGTTCTAGAGGCTTCGGGGGTGCCAGGCTCATCTGTAATACTTGTCCTGAGACCACGTTACGTAGGGACTGAGCTGCCCTTTGTTTTGGGAGCCCCCACAATGCCAGTGTAATTAGGACGGTGTTGGGTGTTTTGACATGTTGGCGGGGGGGCACTCTGCCCCCACCCCCCGGCCCCTTCTGGAGTGCTCACGTGGTGGCCCAAGACGCCCCCGCCCCACGGGCAGGAGACAGGTGTCCTGTGTTGGTAGATGCTGCCCGGGGTGGGGCCCAGGCGGTGCAGGGGCCTGAGCATGTCCCCGTCCCACCTACCTGGTCGTCCCCATACAGGCCCCTGGCACAGAGCGACAGTGAGCTGGGTGGTGTGCGGGGTCACAGGTGATGAGCTCCTGCTCTGTGCAGGACCCCAGGGTGGGCACGTGGCTGAGGGGTGGGCAGGCTCCAGCCAAGGACGTGTGGAGGGTGGCGCCTCGGGGTGCGTGCAAGTGCATTCGTGTGCCCCGAGTGCCCACGGCCACGGATGGACACGGTGCGTCCAGTGCAGGATTGTGGCTGCTGGGCCCAGCGCCCTCTGCTGGTCTCCCCTCCGGTGTGGGTCCCGGGACTGGCACCCGGGCTCTGCGTCCACCAGCGTCATCGTGTCCTGGGGTCCAGCTGTGGGTCCCCAGGCTCGGGCAGCTCCCGGGCTACGGCGGGTCAGGGAGCTTCCTCTGGCCCGGGGCCTGGGGCCCACCCTCGCCACAGGAGCGCTGCTGTCCGGGCCGGAAGCGGGACTCACAAAGCGGTCAGGACGGGGGCGGGGGGAGCCAGAGGGGCACTCGGCACCAGGGACAAAGGCCCCTCGGTGTCATGGCCCAGGCCTGTGCGCCCACCCCCAGCACTGTTCCCCACGCTCGGGCTGTGGGCTGGCAGGGGTGAGGCCCTGGAGCTGGCTCCTCCCGGGGGCCCGGAGTCTGGGGAGGGGATGAGCCCACATGGGAGGAAGCCCCCTGCCCAGCAGCCTGTGCCCTCCACCTTTGCCCACCAAGTGCTCGCGGCCCGGTGAGCCCTGCTGGACCGTGGCCCATCCCAGCCCTGGAGCCCGTGCAGTGCCCACCCCCATCCTGCCTCTTCCCCAGAAGCTGGATCCAGGGCGGCCGCCAGTCCTGCGGGCTCCTGGTCGTCGGCTCCCCCTGCCCTCAGCTGCCTGGGAGGTGGTCCCGGATCAGGTGGGTGCAGGGCAGGGACTGGAACAGGGTGTGGTCTGGCCAGTGTCCCGCCCAAGTGTCAGGCCTGGGGGCCCGGCTGGGGCTGTGGGGGTAGCTGCAGGGGGCCAGTGTGGGCCTGGGCCCTGCGGCCGACGCTGGGGGCTGCTGCTGAGGCTCCCAGGCGCGTCGTCCATCCACGCATGGTGGCGCCTGCCCCGGGAGCCCCTCCTTGGGGCACCCCCCCACCGCATGGGTCCTTCACGCTGGGACGCACCCCCCCTCCCCGGCTCCCAGGCTGCAGCTGGGAAGGGTGGAGAGCCTGGGGAGGGAGGAGGCCGGGGTGGGCCAGGGGCTGGGCTGAGCCGGTGACGTCCGAGGGAAAGGGGCCCTCAGAAGCCCCGGGCTCTTGTGGCTGTGGCGGGACCACGGGGGGACCCAGGGATGCCACCCTTGCCCAAGAGAAGGTCGGTGACTGGCCTGGGGTCCTGGGGGGCTGGGGGGGGCGAGGAGGGCCACCAGGGGCCTGCTCAGGCCTGTGACGTGAGGGGGGGTCTTGCCTTCTGGCCAAGGCCCGGGGCCAGGAGGGGCAGGTGGTGCGCAGAGGACCCTGGTTCAAGGCTGTGACCCCCGTGCCCCGGGAAGGGGTCCCACTGAGCAGGGGGCCTGGAGGGGACTCCCGGGCACTGCCGTCCAGCCCCATACGCCCCATGGACGTCCACGGGCTCAGCACTTCTGCGACCTCCCTGGGTGTGGCATCGTGTGCAGCCTGGGGATGGAAGGGTGACCCAGCCCCGCCCCCACGGACCTCCTCTCCCCCTGCTGAGAGGCTGGTTCTGGGCCAGTCCCCACCCAGGACACCCTCCTGGACTGGCAGGGGCCAGCTGTGCTCAGACTGGGGTCCCGGTCCCGGCTCTGACGCCCTCGGGCCGCAGCCAGGCCCGCCCGTACCCAGGCCCCGTGGCCCTGGCAGCAGCTGTCCCAGTCTGTCCAGTGGTGAGTGCGTGCCCGGGTCGCAGTCGGCCTGGTGCTGGCCTGTGAGCGTCCTGAGGGTGCGCTGCGGGGCCAGAGGCTGTGACAGGACCAGACGCCGGGGGTGGGCAGCAGAGGGGCAGCGAGCCCTCGCCCCAGGGAGCACCTGCCCGGGCCCTGCAGGACGCCGGTCCTCCGTGGACGGGGCGTGGAGCAGCTGTGGGGTGTCCCCGGTCACTGTGGGGCGCCTGGTGTGGGTGGAGAAGCTCAGGAGTGGCTGGATGGACAAACCGCTGGACACGAGGAAGTCGCCCAACAGCCTGTCCTCCCCCAGGCATGACCATGACTGCCCCCGCTGGCCCCTGGCTCGGGCTCCGCCTCTGCCTGTGGCTGGGTGCTGCTCTGGGACTCAGCCAGGGACCAGGTAAGGTGGGGCGGGGTGGGGGGATGCCCCGGGAGCAGCCATCCCAAGGGGAATCCGCCCCGGGGGACCCACGCCCGAGGCCACCCGTGCCCTCTGCCCATCAGCCCAACCGGGGGGCGCTGCTGCGAGCCCTCTGCATGTTCCCGGGCAGCAGAAGCCGAAGCCGGGAGGGAGGCCCTGTCCCCGGGGCGCAGCACCCCCCCCCCGCTTCCTTCCGGCCACCACGCGGCCCGCGCCTCCTCGCTCTCACCACTCCCTCCTGGGTGTTCACGGGGCTTCCTTTCGGAGGGACCCTGGAGTAACGCCCCAAAAGGGACACAGCCGCCCACGGTGCGCCCTGGCCCAGCTCCCCGCGGACTGTAGCTCCCACGGATTGGGAAGGCCGGTGCACAGCTGCGGGCACCCTCTTCGCCCCGCGTCAGCCCCCAGCCACTCCCCTCCTGCCCCGCCGGGGCCTCGCCCGCCGACCCCAAGCGCGGCCACCTGGCCCGCTCACCCCTCGGGTCTGGGTCAGCGTGCACACTGGCGACGGCCAGCAGGGCATGTCCCCGGGTCCCCGTGACATGACAGGGTCACCAGGTGGGGCCACGTCACTAGTGAGCCCAGGGGCCCTCTGAGCCCGGGATTCAGCACATGGGTGCCCTCGCCCACAGGGTCCCCCCGGGTCCTAGGAGGGTAGGGCGGGTGGGGGCCGCATGTCCCTGCTGCCTTCCCTGGGGATGGTCCTGGCGAGGGGGCGCTCCCGGGGGCCTTCCCACCGGCAGGCCCCCGCGTCCGTCCTGGGCCCCAGCAAGACCCTGAAGGCAGCGGGGAGTGTCGCCCCCACGTCAGAGGCACAGCAGACACAGAGGGCTCTTCATGGGCGGGAGGGGGGGCCCCCGCTCACAAACGGCTTTTCATAGCTGCCCCGTCGACATTCCTGCCGCTCGGCCTGGTGCTCCCGGGGAGCAGTGGGCGCATCCGGGGGCCCGGCCAGCTGCTCCCACTCTGAACCACTGCTCATTGTGTCCGTCCTGGGCGCCCCAGCCCGCCCTCCTCCGCACGCCCCGGCTCTCGGTGGGGAGGCCAGAAGAAGCCCATCTCTGTCCCTCTTTTCCAAAAATAGCCACCCCTGCCATGGAGCTTCCAGATGCTTCCCCGGGAGGCCAGGCTGGGTCCCTGGGCTCTGTCCTCCACGCCCCCTCCTCCTCCCGGGACAGCCACGGCACCCAGCAGGGCCCTCGAGTGGCTCCAGGCCGTGGTCGCCAACGGGGCTGTTCCTACCGATCCTGGATGCAAGCCTGGGCCCCGTGGGCGGGGGGTACCCCTAGCTGGGCCAGGTGGGCCTCCCTGGGTGGGAGCAGCCTCCTCACGAGCCAGCAGGTGGCCCTGGCCCCCGGGACCCGGGTGGGGCCTCAGGTCCCCCCGTCCCGGGGCCCCCGCAGCTGTCCCGGGCTCAGGGCTGAGCACCCTGTCTCGTCTCCCCAGCGAGCGGCCGCCTGAGGCTGGCTGTGCTGCCTGAGGACCGGCTACAGATGAAGTGGAGGGAGTCGGAGGGGAGCAGCCTTGGCTACCTGGTCCAGGTGAAGCCCATGGCAGGTGAGGGGCCAGGCCCTCCGCTGCTGTGAGGCCTGGCGGCCAGCGTGCTGCTCTGTGCCCCCCTCCTGCCCCCCAGCACCTACGTGTGCCTGCGGGGAGCCACCCTGGGGCCGGGGCAGCAGGACAACGAGGAAGTTGCTTAGGCTCATGGAGTCTGGAGCCGGAGCTGGTCCGGGCTTGCCGGCACCACGGGTCCTGCCCCTGTGCTCAGGGCTCCCCCCGTGCCCCCACCTTCACGTCTTCACGGTGTCCGCGAGGACGCCGTGCGGGGCTCCTGCAGGGCCTGTGGATTCTCAGGGGGGCAAATCCCTACGGGGAGGTTTCCTAAAGGACAGATTAATTTTGCCACTGAGATGCGTTGTCTTTCAATTTATTACGCGCCCAGGTCCCTCCCATCAGGTCCCCGGAGAGTCGCAAAGACCTGTCCCTGGTTTCTCTCCCGGCTGAAGGGCAGGAGCGGGGTGGGGGGGCCCGGCACACACCCACACACACCTGCCCCCCGGCGGCCTCCGTCTCTCCCCACCCCCACCACAGGGGACGCGGAACAGGAGGTGATGCTGACCACCAAGACCCCCAAGGCCACGGTGGGGGGCCTGAGCCCCTCCAAGGGCTACACCGTGCAGATCTTCGAGCTCACCGGCTCAGGGAACGCCCTGCTGGCGCAGAGGGAGTTTGTGAGTAAGTCCGCGGTCCTGCACCTGGCTGTGCTCTGGGGGAGCTGGGCCCCCACGCAGCCCCCGGGCCTGCTCCCACCCTGCCTCTCTCTGCAGTCGAGGATTTGAAGAGTCACTCTGGGAGCAGGAGCGACCGGAAGCCCCTGGGGGCCGCCCCGGAGCCCACGCCCCCCGACGTGGGGCGCCCGGACCCTGAGCCCCTGGGCACCTCGTCCCCAAGCCAAGACCCGCCCACCCTTGCTGGTTCAGAGTGGGGCGAGGGTAAGTCCGGCAGGTGGAGTGACCCCCGCGTCTCAAGGTTTCACGGGTTCACTGTCCTGAGTCGCTCAGCCTCACGGGGGCAGGTCACCTGCTGGGGGTGTGCTCGGCCCACGCCCCTTGCCTCCCAGCCCGCGGGTGGCAGCTGAGAGGTGACACGCCAGTGACCTCCCAGGATGGCCTGGCGGGGAGCAGCGCCCACCCAGGGACTCCGAGGGCAGGGCCCTTCTCAGGCACCGCAGACCCGAGAGGCAGGGCCATGCCACGGACTCCGCGGGAGCGAGGGAGACGTTGGGTAGAGCCCCCAGGGCGCCAGCCTCCGCGGGCTCTGGGTGGGGTCACGGCGACCCAGGCCAGGCAGACGGGTGGGTGGCGTTTCTGTCGGCCCCGGGCGCTGCCGGCCGGGCCCCCTCCCCAGACCTTCCCCAGACCCGGGGGGCCCACCGCTGTCTCCTCAGATGGACGCCTTCCCCCACGCCCTCCCGTCCCCGTGGCCTGGGGTCTCCAGGACGGCCCCCCCAACAACACAGGGCTCTGAGGGCGAGGCTGTGCCGGGGAGACGGTGCCCCCGCGCCCTGCCCAGCAGTCTTCACGGGGGCCTGTCCCGGGCCTGGGGCTCAGCCTGGAGGCGCTGCCTGTGTAGACTCTCAGGGAGCCCCAGACCCGGGCGGTGGCTTTGTCTCCGAAGAGCTCCTGGGTCGTCAGGACAAGCCACCATCCCAGCCAGCGAGGCCTCAGCCCAGAGCCACCAGCCATGCTGCCCGCACCCCGGTTGGCACCACCTTGGCCCAGGCCACTGGAGGGCAGAGGCCCTGAACTCCCGGGGGTCTCAGTAACCCGCCCTGGGGCGCCTAGGGGACTGACACGATGCATCGAGGGTCGCGTGGCATTCTCTGAGTCCAGGAGGGACCTGAGCACCCGCCACCATGAGCCCTGCGGCCCCTCAGCCTCCACCAACCCCGGGAAGGGGATCCGGGGGCTTTGGGAGGGGGGTCGCGTGGTGACCGGTGACGTGGGCCTGGCCCAGGTGCTCACCGCCCTCCCTGCCCGCCCAGCCGGCCCCCAGTTCCGCTGCACACCCCCCAGCCCCGTGGACATGATCTTCCTGGTGGACGGGTCCTGGAGCATCGGCCACAGTCACTTCCAGCAGGTCAAAGATTTCCTGGCCAGCGTCATCGAGCCCTTTGAAATCGGCCCAAGTAAAGTCCAAGTCGGTGGGTACCTGCGCCCTGCCCCGCGGCCCTGCCCCCAGTGTCCCCACGAGCCCTCCCAGTGCCCCGGGGGCCCACTCTGAGGACGGGGCTCCTGGGGAGCCCGGGCGGGGGCGGTCCCCACGGGGCTGCTGGGACAGCCGGCCCGGGGACATTCCGCTGACCTCCCCGGTGCAGGCCTGCGTCCTCCCGGGTGTCCGGGGAGCGCGGCTCAGCTCCCAGTCCCGCCCCTCCCAGGCTTGACTCAGTACAGCGGAGACCCCCAGACCGAGTGGGACCTCAACACCCTCCGCACCAAGGAGGACGTGCTGGCAGCTGTCCGCCGTCTGCGCTACAAAGGGGGAAACACGTTCACCGGTGCGCCCGGGCCCCGCGACCCCTCAGAGGGACACACCCCTGGGCGCTGTTGGAGCCGGTCCCTCGGGCGGTGTAAACACCTCCCCCAAGAGCAAAACCCCCCTGTTGTCAGGCCCCGGCTGGGACTGGGCAGCCTCCGGGGGCAGAGTTTGGGGGTGCCTGTGGGCGGGGCAGGGGCCCTGCGGGAAGTGCCCGGGCACCCCCTGGGTCTCAGGCTGCCTTTGAGGGAGCGGAGCGGCCCCCAGCTGGCAGGGTCAGGACGCGGTGGGTCGGGCGCTAGGGTCGGTGGCGGGGGCGGGAGGGGACCCGGGCTGCATGCCCTCGGTTCTGGCTGTGCCCAAGGACTGGCGCTGACACACGTGCTCGAGCACAACCTGCGGCCCGCAGCGGGGCCCCGGCCCGAGGCCACCAAGGTGCTGATCCTGGTGACGGACGGCAAATCCCAGGACGATGCCCGCGCTGCTGGCCGCATCCTCAAGGACCTGGGTGTTGCCATCTTTGCTGTGGGTGAGCAGCCCCGGCCCTCCCCTGGGTCCCCCCTGGCTGCAGGGGCAGTTTGCACCCCGGGCTGGAGGTCCCGTGGCGTCTGTGCCACAGTGAGTACCGGTCTCTGCTCCGGGAGCTGAAGGCCAACGGGCGCTCGGGGGGCAGGGAGGAGGACACGTAGTGTGGGGCTCCCAGCAACACACTGAGTTGGGGGCCACGTGTGGACGTCCCCACAGCGCCCGGTGCCCCGGTGATCTCCTGCTCACGTCATTGGTCAGTTCCTATCTCTGTCTCTTGGGAAGAGATCTGCACATTTGGGAGGCTCCTGGGGGCAGGGGACTTCCTTGGTGACCCTGGTCCCCTGCTCAGGCCCCGGGTTCCTGGGTCGGCCTCCAAGGAAAGCACACTGGCCTCCCTCCGGGCCCCAAGCCCCGTGGAGACCCAGCAGGCACGGCACGGCCTGCGAGGGGTCTTCGGGGGTCCAGCCCCACCTGTGCCAGCACCCAGCTGCCGTCTCTCGGGGGCCTGTGGGATCGCGGGCACGAGGCTTGGGAGGCCCCCTCAGACCACCGGGTGACTCGGGCAGGGGCCCCGGTCTTAGTTGTGAGATGGGACGACAGCCCTGGGTGGGCGGGGTCAGCTGCGTCCTCACCGCCGCGCCCGGGAGCAGGTGTGAAGAACGCGGACGAGGCTGAGCTGCAGCTCCTGGCGTCCCAGCCACTGGACATCACCGTCCACAACGTGCAGGACTTCCCGCAGCTCGGCACCTTGGCCGGCTTGCTCGGCCGCCTCATCTGCCAGAAGGTCCAGGGCGGGAGCAGGGACCCGGGTGAGCAGTCACCCTCGCTGGCCGCGGCCCCACCTGGCCGCTCTGGGCAAAGGGATGGGACCCCTGTACGGTGCGCCCCGCACCCGCTCCCGCCTCGGTTCTCGCGGCCGAGGGGCCTGCGGCCTGGGGAACCTGCGGGGGCCGCCGGGAGAGCGGGTGCAGCGCAGACGCAGGCTGCCCTCGGGCCTTTGACCGTCCTCTCCCCCCACCCAGCCCGGCCGGCAGCAGCCACCTCCGCCCTGGACACCCTCTTCACTCCCAGCAGCCTGCTGTTGACCCAGGTGACCTCCTCCAGCGCCCACCTGTCCTGGACTCCAGCCGCCCAGCTGCCCCTCAAGTATCTGATCATGTGGCGGCCCTCAAAGGGTGGCCCGCCCCGGGAGGTGAGGGGTGGCTCTCTGCCTGCCCCCAGCTAAGTCGGGGCGAGCCGGGTGATGTTGGCCCTGCCAAAGCCACGGCAGCCCCCCGGCGGGAGCCCCGATGGCCAAGTGGAGGAGATGGGGCACGTGTGGGTGCTGGCGCCCGTGGTGGCACCGTGGGGAGTGAGCCCCGACCTCAGCGCCCCCAGGGCCGCAGCCCCGGCGCCCACCTGCAGCTGCACTGTGGCCCCCGTGGCAGGTGGTGGTGGACGGGCCCACCTCATCCGCGGAGCTGCACGACCTGGCCGCCGGCACCGAGTACTTGGTGTCTGTGATCCCCGTCGGCGAGGCCGGGGTCGGCGAGGGCCTGCGGGGCCTGGTGACCACAGGTGGGTGGGGTGGGGCCGGGTCACGAGGCCGGTGCAGAGGCAGGCCGTCTCAGCCCGGCGCTGCGTGGCCAAGACCCAGTCGCGGGGCCCCTCTGACCCTCAGGATCCTCTTCTGAGTCGCTCACTCCTTATATGCCCTCCCCCCCCCCCCCGCCCCTGGCCTGCCTGTTACCTCCCGCGAGTGCCTCACAGCGGCCTGTAGAACCCTCGCCCCTGGAGGGAAGGCCTGCGCCCGGCGGCCCACCCGTCCCCCAGCCCCTGGCAATCCCCGGTTGGCGTCTGTGTCCGTGGACTTGCCGTTTCTGGTGGACGGCACCACTGACTGGCTTCTTCGTGGGGTTTCTAGCCCTGGGGGCCTGGCACCCTCACCCTCAGGGCAGGGGCTTTAAGCAGAAACCCCACAGGTGGCCGTGTTTCCCCGGGAATGTGAGCTGGAGACTCGGCCCCAAGTGAAGTCGGGGGGGCAGAGTCAGAATTGTCTGTGGGGCGTCCCCACGCTCCCAGGGGCTCCTCTGCCGACATCTGCCCCCCGAGACCCTCCCCAGGGCCTGCACTCCCCGGGGCCCTTCATCGTCCGAGTGAGGGTCCCACTGGCTCGCGGAGGTGCTCCGTGCCGCATGCTGCCTTCCTAAAGTGTCCGCCCTCCCCCAGCGCCTCTGCCCCCGCCCCAGGCGCTGACCGTGGCTGCGGTGACACCCAGAACCATCCGCCTCACCTGGCGGCCCTCGGCCGGGGCCACACAATACCTGGTGCGATGCCTGCCAGCCTCCCCTGCGGGCCAGGAGGAGGGCAGAGAGGTCCGTGGCCAGCTGATGGGGAGGCGAGGAGGGAGAGCGGGGGTGGCGGGGCGTGGGCAGCGGCCAGCAGGTGCCACCTCCCTGCAGGTGCGGGTGGGGCAGCCCGAGGTGCTGCTGGACGGCCTGGAGCCTGGCAGGGACTACGATGTCCGGGTGCAGAGCTTGCAGGGCACAGAGGCCAGCGAGGCCCGGGGCATCCGCGCCAGGACCTGTGAGTGCCCCCCTGGCTGCCCCCAGGCCCCCACCCCCCAGCTGGGAGAGGGCGCTGGCTGGTTCCTGAGGCCACCATGTGTTCCGCAGCCACCCTGGCGCCCCCCAGACACCTGGGCTTCTCGGATGTGAGTCACGACTCCGCACGTGTGTTCTGGGACAGACTCCCGAGGCCCGTCCGCCTGTTCAGGGTCAGCTTTGTCTCCAGCGACGGCAGCCACTCGGGGCAGGTGAGCGCAGCCCTGCCTGGGGGCCACTGGGGGGCCCGGCACCCCATGGGGACGGCCCAGGCCCCACACCCCGCATTCACAGCTGGTGGGTGTCTGGCCTGGCATGGGGTGCAGAGGGCAGCCCTGACCATCCCGGTCCTTGGGGGCCGGTCTGCAGGGCTGGGGGACACACAGGCATGAAGCAAGGCATCAGAAACCCACAAATGACATCGTGAAGGGGCGCGGGGCAGGGGGTGCTGTGAGGGCGTCCAGGCCCCAGGAGGTCCCCCAGCGCATGTCCAGGGTCCCCGCTCCGGGGGTGCTCATGGGTGGTCGGGCTGGCAGGTCCCAGGCGCGTGTCCCTCCTCCCCGGGGCCGACCCCTCCATGGCCTGGGGACGGGGCTCCACGCCTCACCCTGGCTGCCTGGCAGGTGGAGGTTCCCGGGAATGCCACCTCGGCCTCTCTGGGCCCTCTGTCCTCCTCCACCACGTATGCTGTCCGCGTCACTTGCCTCTCCCCCGGGGGCGGCTCCTCCACGTTGACCGGCCACCTGACCACACGTGAGTGGGCTGAGGTTGGGGGGTCCCCGGGACGGCTGCGTCCCTCCCCCGATGGACGGTTCAAATGACCTGGTTACCGCATGGGCACCTGCTGTGTGCACTGCTGAGCCAGGCGGGCACAGGTGGGATGCGGGGCGTCGGGGCCTCGCGGACACGACCCGGCTCCACCTGCTGAGCTGCTGGCCCTGGGGGGCGCCAACGTGGGCGTGGGTGCTGTGTGGGCCTGGGTCCCTTGCCCGCGCCCCGGCAGCCCTCAGGTGTGGCCCCGCAGCTGTGAAACCTTCGCTGGTGGGCCGCCCTGAGCCCCGTGTCCCTGCTCTGTCGCCCAGGGAAGGTCCCCAGCCCCAGCCAACTCGTGGTGACCAGGCTCCCCGGGGACGAGGCTCGGCTGCAGTGGGCGGCGGCTTCCGGAGTGCTCGTCTATCAGATCAAGTGGACACCCCTGGGAGACGGGAAGGCCCACGAGGTGCGGGGTGGGGAGGGGAGGGCGCCCTCCAGCCCCATGAGCCGGCCTGTCCGCGGGGCGCACACCTGTCCCTCCCTGCACAGGTCTCCGTCCCCGGGAGCCGGGCCATGGCGGTCCTGCCTGACCTGCGAAGCCACCTGGAGTACGACATCACCATCCTGGCCTACTACAGGGACGGGGCCCGCAGTGACCCGGTGTCCCTGCGCTACAGCCCCCGTAGGTGACCCCTGTCCCGCCCTCAGCTGCCGAGCAGCAGTGACAGCCCGGGGGGACCCAGATCCTCCCAGGACTGCTGGCGGGTAGCTCCCCGAGCACCCAGCCCTCTGGCCTGACCCCGGGGCCCGCAGGCCACCCCTGAGCCCGCTAGGCAGGGGTCCCGGGCTGGCCGAGGTTTCATGTCACCTGGTATCGCACCTGGTACGCGGAGGGGAGCTGGGGCCAGGGGGCAGCAGGACCTGGGGGAGGGCGCGCGGCCGCCCCCTGAGCCCTGGGCGCTGCCTGCCTCCCAGCACGTCGCAGCCCGCCGTCTGACCTGACCCTGGCTTCCGAGTCGCCCAACAGCCTGCGAGTCAGCTGGACGCCCCCGAGCGGCCCCGTCCTCCACTACCGGCTCACCTATGCGCTGGCCTCAGGCTTGGGACCCGAGAAGTCGGTGGGTGTGGAGCGGGGAGGCCGTGGCCCCTCGTGCCCCCAGGTCCCGGGTGCAGGGGGCAGACAGCCCCCCGATGAGGGTGGTGCCTCCTCTGTGGCAGGACACAGACCTGTGAGAGCTCAGATGCCCAGATGAGCAAAGATGCTCCAGCGGGAGGGGGACCTAGGTGACCGTGTACCCCCACCCCAGATCTCTGTCCCAGGACCCAGGAGCCACGTGACACTGCCCGACCTGCTGGCAGCCACCAAATACAGGGTCCTGGTCTCGGCCATCTACGGAGCAGGGGAGAGTCTGACAGTGTCTGCCACAGGCCGGACCGGTGAGTGGACCCCAAGACCACCAGGACCCAGCCAGGCCCCCGACCCGCACCCCCAGCCCGGCCCCCAGAAGCCTCTAGAACCTGCACTATGTGTCATGCTCCGCACATAGCCCAGCCCTGCAGAGCTAGCACAGGGCCGATTGGGGTTTTCCCTGAAACCTTCCCCCGCGTGGGGCCACCACTACCCAGGGGTTAAGACCACATCAGTCCAATAGGAAGTGTGCAGGCTGAGGCGGCGGGGGGCTCCTGGCTGGAACCTCGCGGGCAGATGCCCACCGCTGGGAATGGGCCCCTGACTGCACATCTGCCTCGGGAGGCGCGGGTCAGACGTGCAGCCCGGCGAGTCCCGGGCAAGCCGAACACAGATCACTGCCGGGACGGGCAAGGGGCCCGGGAGGCTACTTAGGGAGGCCCAGGCTGGCATCTCTGCGCCCACTGAGTCCACGCACATGGCACCCGTGGGCCCTGGAGGACTGCCCACAGCCAAGACCCAGCGGGAGGACCTCGCTGCTTGTGCGTGGCTGCTGTCTGCTGGGCTCCTGCGCAATCACAGACGCTCAGAGCAGGGGACCCTCTGAGGCCACTCAGCCGGCCACCCCAGCGTCCCTGTGTGCCTCCGTGGGGCACCTCGTTCTGGCTTGAATGCCTCTGGGGATGGCGAGCCCTTACTGGCCGGTGGACAAGCTCTGAGCGCCCCCATGTCCCCGGCGGTGGAGTAAGCCTGCACTTGGCCCAGGCTGGCATGTCACGCCCCTGCCACCTGGAGCGTGCTGCTGGCCCGTGCCCCCTTGGGGTGCAGCACCCCATGGAGCAGCCCTGGCTGGGCACTGTCTCCCGGGGAGCAAGACGCCATCCCTGTCCCTTCCTTGTCCCCTCCCTGGGGAGTGGGGACCACGGGCCTGAAGACCTGCAGGTGGCTCCAGCACACCCGTGGGCTTCGGGGCCGGGCACCTGGGCACGGGGTCGCTCCAGGTGGAGGCCAGGCCCCTCGCACTCACCCTTCCCTGTTGCCCCCCAGCAGCCTGCCCTGCGCTCAGCCCTGACAGCCCCCTCCCAGGTAGGCCCTCCCGCCCCCCCACCCCCGTGTGACAGCTGAGCCCCTCCCCCCTACCGCCCCACCCTCTTCCCCTTCCCCACTGTAGTCAGAGGAGGTGTGGGCGGTCTGAGCCGGGTGAGCAGGGGCAGGTGGTGTGGCTGGTGCTGGGCCCCGGGGTCCCCCAGGCGTGGGGTCCACGTGGAGCGTGGCGGGAGGCCCAGGCCCCCGAGCGCCTGAGGGCTTGAGTTTGTGCCCACCTGCGGTCTGCGGTCTCCGCAGTCACCTTCTTCCCATGTCTGCCGGCTGGAGATGCCCTCCCGCCCCCCCCCCGGCCCCCCCGCCCCCCCAACTCCTACGCTTCCCGGTGCGGTGCCTCCCGCCCCTGCGCCTCCCGCTCTCTGACTGCTCCTCGGGGACGGTGACGTCGTGCTGCCTGGCCTCCCAGGCTTCGACCTCATGAGGGCCTTCGGGCTGGTGGAGAAGGAGTACGCCTCCGTCCGCGGCGTCGCCATGGAGCCCTCGGCTTTCGGCCGCGCCAGGACCTTCACCATCCTCAGGGACGCCCAGCTGAGCCGCCGGGCCAGGTGGGACAGCGGGGACGGGCGGGGGTCCGACGGGGCGGCTGCGGGGGGCGGCCACCTCCCCCGTGTCCCTCCCTGGGCACTGAGGCTGGGGGCCCACCGGGGGACATGGCTGGTGCGGGGCCTCTTCCCGGTCGACTCCCCCGTGGAAGGCCCCGACCCTCGTGCCCTGAGGGCCCCTGCGTCTCTGCCGGCGGCCTGCGTGCGCAGCAAGCCTGGAGTACGAGGGCAGCCACTGCCCACCGAGACCCCCCAGAGCCTGCACTCCCCAGGGCCCTTCGTCGTCCAAGTGAGGGTCCCGCTGGCTCGCGGGGCCAGCGAGCAAGGCCCTGAGCAAGGCTGTGTGGCTCCCGACATCGCATGGCCCCGACCTGCTTGCGGAGCCGTCTTGAGTCAAGGCGGGAGCTGTGATAGGCACAGCATTGCCTTTTCTGTGTAAACATTGTATTGACTGACTGCAGACAGAGGCACAAAGAGCGTGAGTGGGGGGGCCCCCAGAGCAGGAGCCTGGGGCGGGGGGCCAGGAAGGTGCCCCAAGGAAGCGGCAACAAGTAGCGGCCCCTGGAGAGACAACAGGGAAGGGGAAGGGCCCTGGAGAGAAGGAGCCGCCTGTGCCAAGGCCCTGGGGTCAGTTTGCTTGAAGAACCCCAGGAATGGGCCAGGCCGGGTCCTTGGGGTTCTTGGCTATCCTAAGAGCAAATGAAGGGCGAATAGCAAGGCTTTGGCCTTTAGGAGCAATTCTACTGGGTGACCTAACCTTCCCTGCCCTTCGCAGCCCTCACACTCCCCAGTGGGCAGGGGCACAACCCGCCTGGCCCGTCTGAGCGCTCCGACGAGCTCAGGTCAGAGGAAGCCGCTCGTGGGCTCCTGACCCCAGGACGCAGGCCCCGAGACCCTGGACCTTGGGGTCCTGCTGAACCCCGCCAGCTCTGCCCCTCACACACCCGTGCTGCTCCTGGGGACGGGGGCGGGAGTGGCCAGCTTGGCCCTGGAGCCCGCGCTGCAGATGCCCCCGTGCTCCGACAGTGCCCCCGACCTGGCTGCGCCCCCGCCCGAGCACACGGTGGTCTTCCTCCTGCGCGTGCTGCCCGAGACCCCCCGGGAGACCTTCGCGTTGTGGCAGATGACGGCCGACGACTTCCAGCCCGTCCTGGGCGTCCTGCTGGACGGTCAGTCGGGGGCGAGGGCGGTGGCGCAGCTCGCGGGTCCCAGGCAGTCAGTGTGCAGCCCCCCTGGGCCGCTGAGCTCGTCGCCCCTCCCCTGCAGCGGGCAGGAGGTCTCTGACCTACTTCCACCACGACCGCACGGCCGCCTTGCAAGAGGTCACCTTTGACCTGCCCGAAGTGAAGAGGATATTCTTCGGAAGCTTCCACAAGGTCCTGGAAGGTTCCTGAAAGACGGCAGCGCACGTCCCCTAAGACCCTCCCCCGGCCCCCAGGCTCTGGAGCAGACCCCCCCGGGACCCACAAGCCGTGCCTGCCTCCCACCGTGGGCCGCCGTCACCCGGGGCTCGCCCCCTCCCTACCCCCTCCCATTTTCCCTGGAAGCCCCGTTGGGCTGCGGGAGCCCCTGTCCCTGATGCTGCAGCTCCCGCGGCCCCCACGGTCCTCTCTACTGGGTCCCACGGCTCCCTGGGAGGGGTCTGCAGCAGGTGTGATTTGGTCCATGGGGTAAAGGGGAAAGTGAGGCCCGGGGAGGTGTCTCATAAGGCCTGGCCTTGCGGGCACAGACGGGGGCCGCCTGGCGGGGGCTGCAGGGGAGCTTGTGTCTCGGCAGGTGCACGTGGCCGTGGGCCGCTCCAAGGTCGGGCTGTACGTGGACTGCAGGAAGGTGGCCGAGAGGCCCATCGGGGAGGCGGGCAGCCCGCCTGCCGCCGGCTTCATGATGCTGGGGAGGCTGGCCAAGGCGCGCGGGCCCCGGAGCAGCTCCGCCTCGGTGAGCGTGGGCCTTGTGCTGCGGGCTGGCAGGGGACGCCGCGGAAGCCCGGCCTTACCTGGGGCCGCTCCCCCTGCAGTTCCAGCTCCAGATGCTGCAGATCGTGTGCAGTGACTCCTGGGCAGATGAAGACGTGTGCTGCGAGCTCCCTGCGTCGGTAGGTCGGCTGGTGCCGCCGAGGGTCGGGGAGCCTGGGGGTCCACAGGGTGCCCGTCGTCACGGTGCTGGGAGAGGCCAGGGCAGACTTCCTGGAGGAGGTGGCCTCTGGGCCAGAGCCAGAGCCCTGGGCAGCTGGATGCAAGTGTCCTGGAGGCCCTGGGGGCAAGGCGGGCCGCAGTGTGAGGGAGTCGGGGGGCCGCTGCCCCTCCCCTGGGCACAGCTGGGTGTACACAGCAGGCCAGCAAGGGGCTCGCCCGCAAGGCCGGGGGGAGCCAGAGTCTCCGGCGGCCTCCGCACCCTGTACCCACACGGGGCCTGGGCAGGCGAGGGACTCGTGCGGGGCTGGGAGACGGCGCAGCCGGGCAGCCTGCGGGGTGGCACCAGGATGGGCCCCCCGTCCCCACCTCCTAGGCCTGGACCCGGGCACTGGTACCCCGAGCTGTAGCCCACACGGGACCAGCGAGGGGCCCACTTACTGGGTGGGGTGTCCTTCCTGCAGAAGGACGGAGAGACCTGCCCGGCCTTCGCATCTGCCTGCACCTGCGCCTCGCAGACCCCCGGGCCCCCGGGGCCCCAAGGACCTCCGGTGAGTCACCCGCCCTCCCCTGGGGTGACCAGGGGCTCCCGCAACATCCCGCCACCACGGCACCGAGCGGTTGATGCAGCCGCGCCCGTGGGACGTGCTCACGAGGCCCCCGGCCGCCTCTCCATCCCTCTCTGCTGTGGGATCCAGCGTCCCCCCAGTTTCCCCGGGGGGGACCCAGGCCCAGCTGTCTGTGGCTGTGCTATGTGGCTGTGCTATGTGGTGGGTGTCAGAGCCTGGACTCTGCTGTACCCAGAGGCCGTGGGAGGGAAGGGTGGGCCAGGTCCCCCTCACCCTGGAAGACCCTTCCCGTCCCACCCGGCCCCGGGGCTGCGATGCCGTGGGCCCGCGGGTGGACAGCACTGAGCCCCGCCCTGCCCTTGCAGGGCCTCCCTGGAAGGAACGGAGCCCCAGGAGAGCGGGGCTTCCCGGGGCCCAGGGTGAGTTGTGGGGAGCCCTGCGGGGACCCTACCTTCCTGAGAATACAGGAGTGAGCCCCACAGCTAGAAGCCGGGTGTCCTCCCCGGGACGGGCCCTCGCCCCCCCGCCCGGCAACTACAAGTCTTCTTGTCTCTGACCTTGGGACTCTGACAGGTGACATGTGCTGACGCCGTTTTAATTGGCATTTCTCCTAAAGCAGCTCCAACACCCTTTGGAAGTTGCTGGGATTTTCTTGTGGGACAAATGTCCTTTGAGCCCTGTGCCCCGGGTCACCGTTCCTACTAACCCTCGGGCACGCGTCCTTCGTGGCCGTTGCCGCCGTGTGCCGGGAGTCGGGGCGGCGTCTGTGTGGAGCTGCCCGGGGCGGCCGGGGCGGAGTGTACCTGGCTCGTCCGTGGGCTCTGGTCTTATCGGGAGACTTAAAACCTCAAGTGCGGATGTTTAGTAGGATTCGGTGCTTCCGCGGCTGCTGGGACACGGCCAGATGGTTTTTCTCCTGGAGCCACCAGGTGCAGATGGCCTTGGCGTCCCCCGGCCCCGCCCGGCTTGCCTACACCGCGTGTGCCCCCGGGTGCCGAGGGCCACGGCCTTGGTGTTCTCGCCCGTGGTCACGCACAACCGTGCAGTCTTCACGGAGGTCGGGACCTTGATGTGCTTAAGTCACCGCAATGATTCGAAGCATTGTCTTTCCCCGCGGTCTCACAGTGGGGCTAGTGGGCGCCCCGTCCCGCTGCACGGGGGCGGAGTGCTCGGGCCTCCGAGCTCCGTGAGGGTCCAGGCGCCCCCCGGGCCCCCGGCCACGAAGGGGGAGGAGGCTCCCCGGCTCTGTGGCCCGGACCAGTGGCCTCGCTCAGTTCCTGGCTGTAGAGCGGGTGGCGCAGCCCAGGGTGGGCGGTGATGGTGATGACGTCTCTGTACGAGCCCAGGTCTGGGTCCGGGGTCAGCTGGAGGGTCAGGAGGGCCACTGAGGCCGGGAGGGGGGCCCGGGGCCTCCTCAGCCCCTCCCCAACCTGCATCTGCAGGGAGAGCCTGGGCCACCCGGACAGATGGGACCCGAGGGTCCTGGAGGTCAGCAGGGCTCGCCAGGGACCCAGGGCCGGACCGTGCAGGGACCTGTGGTAGGTGCTGCCCCTCCCCCACCCCCTTCCTCCCCGACGGACCAGCCACTGAGGCTCTCTCCTCTCCAGGGCCCGCCGGGGGTCAAAGGAGAGAAGGGGGACCATGGGCTCCCGGGCCTGCAGGTAGTGGCACCAGACCCCGCTCAGGGCACGTAGGTGGGGTGGGCCTGGGCCGGGGACCTGGGTCTCGGGGACAGGGCCTCCTCCTCTGGTTCATACTGGGGCCCCAGCCTGGCCAGCGTGTCTGTTCCCTTCCAGGGCCACCCCGGTCACCAGGGCGCCCCCGGGAAGGTCGGCCTCCAGGGACCAAAGGTGGGAGAGAGCTCGGACAGAGCCGTGGGGGAGGCGGCCTGGGCAGCGGGGGGGGCGTGTGCTCGCTGCCCGGGTGGGAGGCAGGCACCACGCTGGGTTGGCCTCGCTGGCTCTCAGGGGGAGGCTCGCGGGTGCTGCGGCTTCAAGGGGCGGGGGGCCGGGTGTCCAGGTGCTCTGGTGCGGTCACTCGTGGGGGTCACCGGCGCTGCCGCAGGAGGGGCGTGTGGGGGTGCCCAGCACTCCCTGCCCCAGCCTGCCCCTTCCTCTGCTCTCAGGGAATGAGAGGCCTGGAGGGGAGCGCTGGCCTGCCTGGACCCCCCGGCCCGAGGGTAGGCTCCTCCCCCAGCCTCCTCGGGGTGAACACAGTAGTCTGCAAGGCCACAGCCAGGGTGCAGGCACCCCTCGAGGTGACCCCGGGAGCCCTGGGGAGCCCAGCGAGGGTCTTTCTGGCCTCCACAGGGCAGGGCGGGCGGCCCCAGGCCCCCTGCACTAGATCCGTACGGCGGGAAGGTGCCCGAGCTCCCGGTAGGCCCGGGCCGGGTGCATGGGTGAGGCTGGCTTCAGGACGTGAGCTGGGCCCCTCCTCGTTCTCCCCAGCCAGTGGGTCCACACTACCCTGAGTGGGGAGGTCCAGGGCGGCCTCGGCTGGGGCCGCCCCGGGGCAAGAGGACAGCTGTGACACTGGGCACAGCCGGAACAAAGCCAGGAGTGTTGTAGTGAAGAATCGTCGGAGGGGCAGGGCGGGCGGGGCTGTGCCCTGGGCAGGGGGCCCGGCCGAGCTCCGAGGCGGGTGATGAGCGGCCTGCAGGGGCTGGTCCTGGTCCAGGGCCGCGGGGACCCCAGACCACAGGGAGCCAGGGCCGGAGGGAGGAGGGGCCACGTCCTCCGGGGCCTGCGGCCGAACCCCCACCTCTGCACCTCTGCAGGGCTTCCAGGGCGTGGCGGGAGCCAGGGGCACCGCAGGGGAGAGAGGCCCCCCGGGGGCCGTGGGGCCCACGGTAAGTCCCTTGCCCACTCTCAGCAGCCCCCCAGCAAAGACAGGAGTGGGGAGGAGGCGGGGAGCAGATGTGAGCAAACGCCTCCCTCAGGCCGCTTTGTAAAGCAAGGCCTGCGAAGAGCCTGGGTTTGGGGCTTCCCGGGGGCCGCCCCTGCACAGGTCGGGGCACAGACGGGGGCCGCGGGCTAGGTCGGGGCTCCTCTCGCAGGCCTGGTGGACTCTGGCCTGCGCCCCGGGCTTGGGTGGGCTGTGCCGCCCGTGGGGAGCAGGGGCGGAGAAGCTGCCCCCAGGCCCCCGCCCGGAGGGGAGCCCGGCCGCCTGTCCTGCTGCAGGCTGTTTCCCGGTGCTGACCACGCTGACCACGCTGACCGGCTTTTCTCCTTCTCCACCGCAGGGGCTGCCGGGACCCAAAGGGGAGCGAGGAGAGAAGGTGAGGCGGCCCCTGTCTAGGGTCCGGGCACTTCCTGGGGAGCAGGGGGGCAGCTGGCCACGTGGCCCGTCCTCCCTTGCAGGGCGAGCCACAGTCCCTGGCCACCATCTCCCAGCTGCTGAGCCGGGTCTGCGAGTCTGCCATCCAGAGTGAGTGGTGCAGCCCCCTCGGGAGGACCCCACAACCTCCCGTGACCCCCACCACGCAGCCCCTGCACACACCAGCCGGGCAGGAGGGGTCACCAGCAGGCTCCTGGGTGGCCGTTCTCCTAGGCCGTGCACCGCGGGGTCGTGGGAGGGCAAGCGGGGAGCCCTCCGCCCCCGCCCCACCCTGCTGATGCCCGCACCCCACCCCCCAGCTCACGTGCTGAAGCTCCACTCCTTCCTCCACGAGAGCGCCAGGCCCCCCCGGCCCATCTTGGAGGCGCCCAGGCTCCCTGGACAAGGAGGACAGAACAGCCCCCGCCCCGAGGACAGAGGTACCGACCCCCTGGGGGAGGGTCTAGGGCCCTGCAGCTCGTCCCCCGTACGGGTGCTCATCCTGTGCGCTCCTCCCCTCCCTTCCGGAGCCGGGGTGTGGACGCAGGGCCCCTGAGCCCACACACAGGGCCCTCGGGCAGGGCTGGACGCTGCCTGGCTTCCTGGCTTCTCAAGGAGGCCCCTTCCCCGTTCTCCCAGGAAGCCCCGGAGTAGGGCCCTTTCCTGCCCTGCTGTCCCCTCCCGCCTGTGTCCTCCGTGCCCTCCTTCCTTGCTCTGATGCGGCAGGAGGCTCGGTCCAGTGACCTTGTCAGGCGTCCCTCCATCTGACTGGGGCTGCGGCGCTGCTCACGGCCCAGGTGCTAGGATGGACGTAGGGCCCCTGGGGGCCCGGGTAGGGTTGAAGATAGAGGGGCAGGGGGCCGCTGGGACGCTGCGGGCAAGGAGGGCCCCCCCTCGGGCTAGCCATTGGGCTGGGGGACGGGACCCCTGCCCTCCACGGCCCTTCGTAGTTCCCAGAGGCTGGCAAGTGCTGGGTGAAAACCCCCACCGGGCCCCCCGCCAGTCAGCCTGGGCCACTGAGCCGACCGCTGGTGTCTGTTGGGGCTCAGGCACCGCCCCAGAACAGGGCCCCATCTGCATCCCCTGGCTCTAGCACACCCCCCTTCTGTTCAGGCGAGCCCAGAACCCTCAGTCCCATGGGCAGCCCTCGGCCGAAAGGGAGCGAGCCTCCGAGACCCCTGGCAGGAACGGGTGAGCCCCCACCCAGGGGAGGGGAGACTAGGCGGGCTGCAGGGTGGGGGTGCAGCACGGATAAACACGCAGCTTCCGAGAAGCAGGGCCTCTGGATGGCTGGGCACAGGGGGGTTCAGGGGCCTTGGGGGAGACTTGCAAGCCCATGGGCAGATGTGGGGGAGCCAGGAGGGCCCATGGTGGTTGTTAGCGCATCAGGAGGGTAGACTGGGTGTGCACCACAGTGGGCACCTGACCGGAGAGGGGTGCACATGGGAGCACCTGACCGGGGGGGGGCACATAGGAGCACCTAACCCGGGGGGGCACGTGGAATGCCTGACCCTGACCAGGGGGCGGGGGCCCGTGGGAGCAGCGCCCTGAGGAGCAGATTCATGCTGTGGGCTCCTGGCCCACCTGGACCCACGGAGACCTGGGAGCTCGGATCTGTGGCGCTGGGTGGGCTGGGGGCCAGCTGCCTGGCACCTCCCTCAGCCGTGCCCTCCCTTGTCTCCTGCCAGGACGGCCCCTGTGCTCCCCACAGTGAGCCTGCACCCCTCCCCAGACTCCAGCACCAAGACGTCCCGGGACGACCTGGAGCGAAAGGAGGGCGGTGGGGAGCCCTTCCTCTGTACGCTTTCCGCACTCAGATAAACCGCCGCATGCTTGTCACCACGGGGCTGCTCACTGCAGGGAGGGTGTCCCAGGGCCCAGAGTTTGGCCCTGCCAAGTGGAGTCCAAGGCTCCCCCCAGTCTCCCTTGAGCCCCCGTGTCCTGGTGGTGCGGCCCCAAGCCCAGCCCGGACACGGTTTCTCAGCTGCACTTTGACCCCCCGGGGGGGGGAGTCGAGCACGGCGCCCAGCCCTCCCTCAAACACCTGCTGACGTCACCTCCTGGGCCCAGCCAGGCCTCGGGGGCTCCCCACCTCCCTAGCAGCCGTCACAACGTCCAGCTCACCTCCCAAGGACTTGGCCCCATGGGGACCCCGGCCTGCTGGCCCCGTGCCTTGTCCCTCCCACCCCCCCTCTCCCCACCCCGCAGCCTGGACATCACAGCTGGTGCCAGAAGCACCCAGGGCCACACCTATTACCACCACATCTTTCCCTACACACATGGAAGAACTTGGGAGGGGCGTCCGTTAGCTGCGGAGGCCAACGTGGGCATCCGAGGTGACGGTGGAGCAGAGGCAGAAACAGGGGAGCGGGGACGGGAGCGGGGCACCGGGAGGCCTGGACCACAGCACGCCCAGAAACGGCAGGTGGCTCGGGGACAGAGAAGGCTGAGCCCACTGCCAGGGGCGGGGTCAGCTCCCGACGGGGGCTGCTCGGGGCTGGGGGGGGGCCTGGACTCTGAGCGGGGACCCGATGGCACCTGGTGTGTGTTCTCCGTGACCCGTGGGTCAGACCTCCGGGACCTCGTCCATCGTCCCCTGAGACAGAGGTGGGGGTGGGCTGCTGGCTTGGCTGGGGAGGGCGACAGGGGGCCGAGCCCTGGGGGGCGGGAGTGGCCTGAGAGCTGTCTGGGCGGGAGAGCAGCTTGTGGGTGCCCCCAGGGGGCCACGTGCAGAAGGGGTAGGAGTCTGGGGCTCGTGGGGACAGAAGCATGGGGGCCGCCATCTCACAGCGATGGGAGCCTCGGGCTGGCTGTGGGTGCCCCCGGGAAGGGCGCTGTCGGGGGTGCCAGGGAGCAGAGCCGGGCGCCTCTTCCGGGAGCTGGCGTCCAGCAGAGAGCCCAGCCGGAGCAGGAACCGGCTCCCCGCCCTGCCCGCCCCGACGTGCCACTGGGCTGGAGACGCAGCATCCCTGCCGCCCGCCCTCCCGCCCTCCTCCACCCCCGTGGGCTGACTGCACGTGTCACGTGGGCCGCTGCAGCACCCCAAGCCCTGTGCACACGCACACGCACGCACACGTGTGCCCGAATGTACTGCCCCACACGTGTTCACAGGCGGCACCACTGTCAGGTCCAGGAGACGAAGTGGCAGGGACACGTCCCCTTCCGCCCGCGGACCTGGACATCACACCTTCAAAGAGGGAAGGATGGGCGGTGATGACACGAAGCCAGAGTTACCAGCAACGAGCCAGCGGGGCGGTGACGGCCGCCCGGGAACCTGAGCAGCAAGTCAGCTGGAAGACGTCTCCCCGAGGTTCAAAAAAAGTTGAAAAAGGGAGAATGTGTCAGCATCTACGTGGCGAGATGAAAGGGGCGGCGAGTGAATGAGGAATGGGAATGTTGAAATACGTGATTTTTAAAAATTTTTTAAAAACCGGAGGATTGGAGAAGATCGGAGACTTATAAAGGCTTCGAGAGCCAAATGGGTCAATTCCTAAAATCCACCCTTAGAGGGCGCCCGGCTGGCGCAGTAGGTAGGTGGGGCCTGGGAGCCGAACTTGGGCTGCGAGTTCAAGTCCCACGCTGGGCGAGGACGTGACTTAAAATTAAAATATTTAGGAGCGTCTTGTGGCTCAGTCGGTGAAGCATCTGACTCTTGGTTTCAGCGCAGGTCCTGTCTCAGGGTCGGGCTCCACGCTCAGCAGGGCGTTTGCATGAGATTCTCTCCCTCTGACCCCCGCCCCCCAAATAAACCACCCTTGGATTCTCTAATGCAAAACACGACAAAGATCATGGAAATGCTCCTTAGACGTCTTTCTGCAGAAGAATGAGTCAGCTCCATGTCCCGGGAGCATAATGACCCAGAGTGTTGAGGAAGCAAGACTCAGATTTCAGATCCACTGGAATCATCACCGAAATGAAAAGACTGTGAGGACACGGCGTGAGTGCACGGAGCCTCAGAGGGGAAACGAGATCCTCCTCGGCAGCCCGCTTGGGGGGCTTCTGCAAAAAGGGCCGAATAACCAGGAATCAGACCCAATACGTAGCAGACCCACAGGCACTGGAACACGTGATGGGATTCGCTACCAGGTGAACAATGAAGCTCTCCACACGCACAGGTCACCACGGTTCTAGGTCCTTCCGCGTGGCTGGTGTGGGCGGCCAGGTCCCCGAAAGCAACCAAAGCGCTGGCTCCCCTGGCGATGGGCGGTGTGGGATCGACCTATTACTCTTAGGACATTTGGGAGCAGCCACCAGGAGGGAAAAACAGAACGGACAGCCCTCGAGGTTAGCCGACAGGGTCAAGTTTTCTCTCACGGGACGGGATAGAACGTGTGAACAGAAACAGAAACGGGGGATCCCTGGGTGGCGCAGCGGTTTAGCACCTGCCTTTGGCCCAGGGCGCGATTCTGGAGACCCGGGATCGAATCCCACGTCGGGCTCCCGGTGCATGGAGCCTGCTTCTCCCTCTGCCTATGTCTCTGCCTCTCTCTCTCTGTGTGTGTGTGACTATCATAAATAAATAAAAATAAAAAAAAATAAAAAAAAAAGAAACAGAAACGGCTTCAACCTGTCCCAGCGTCGCAGGAATCACAGTAAATATGAGTGAGTTCGACTCATCAAGACGTGAGCTCTCCAAACTGCGTCGAGAGGCAAGAGCCAGCTTCTGCGTCTCGCAGGACGGAGCGGCCAGGACCGGACGGACGCCCGCCCCCAAGGCCAGGGGCTGGACGGGGCGGCCGTTGGCGTTCGGAGGCGCTGCGGGGACAACTGGGCCCGGAGTCAGCAGCACCGACCCCCACTCACCTCACACCACGCACGGACGCTAACTCCAAACACGCCGTAGACTGACACACGAAAGCTAACACAGAACTTTCTGGAAGGAAACACACAAGCACACGCCGCCTCGGGATGAGCAGATTTCTTAGGAGCCGTAGGCGGTAACCACAGCAGGGAACAGTCATAAAATGTGCCTCATCGAAATTAAAAGCTTTTTTTCAAGACGCCAGGAAGAGAATGAAAAACACGGTCACAGATGAGGACGGAGTGTCCACAACCCACGAAGAGGGCGCCCTGCACACCCCCTGGCCAGCGAGCCGCGCTCGGCGCTCAACGCTCCGGGCCCCAGGGAGGCGCGAGGGAAGCCCGCGGGCGACACTGGCCCAGGGGTGGGGGTCGGGGTGGCTGCGGGGGTGCTCGCGGGGTTCTCAGCTCCTCGCTGAGACCGAAGCACCAGGCTCCCGCGGCCCCGAAATTCCACCAGGCGTGCGGCCCAGACACGCAAACACGTCCGCACAAAGACGCGTGTGTGAGTGTGCGAGGCGGCATGAGCCACCACAGCGCCGCACACGAGACCACCCGCGTGTCCACCAGCGGATGAACAAATGGCGGTGTGTGCGGGGACTCGAGCGATCACACACACAGCTGCGGGGGACCGGCCCCAACACGCCGGGCCAAAGGGCCACCCGCAAAGGAGGATCGTCCACCAGGTTCTAGAACACGCGAGCCTCTAGAGTGACGGCGGCCGGGCCGCGGTCTCCTGGGGAGGGGCGGGGCTTCCTGGGGACGGAGATGCCCCGTCTGTCGGCTCGGGTGGTAGCCACGGGGCGTCCACGGGTCCACGGACCTGAGCCAGTTTGGCCGTGACACGTGGAAACTCACCCCAGAGGAAGCCGAACGGCTCCGTCATCGTCAGAAGAGGTGGACTCAGAACACAGGCAGCGCCAGACTCGAAGGGGGACGTTCGCCGGGAGGACAGCCCCCCTCCGTGTGACCAAGCGGAGAGGACGCGGCCACCCCGGAGTGACCCTACAACACCGGCACCCGCTCAGGAGTCAGGAGGGAAAGTAGACCCGAGACGGGTCTGCAGAGCCCACAGCAGACGCCCCCCCCGACCCACCTGCCTGGCATTTCTGGAACCTTCCCCGCGGCAAGCCACACCCCCTGTCAAACATGCGCTGGGCCCCAAACAAGTGTCAAGAATGTAGAACCGAACTGTCTAGAGTGGGATTGCCGCAGAAGGCCGCACGGGACGGCGGGAAGCTGGCCCAGCTCAAGAACACGTAGCAGAGCCGGTGACGCACGGCCGGTAAGAGGCGGCCTCACGGCGGAGCTGCAGGAATGCAGGTGACCCCGCGGCGAGCTGCATCCCCCAGGCCAGAAGCCACGGGGGGCGGGGGCGGGCAGGCAACAGGACACAGCGACGGGTTAGCCACCGACCACAGCCCGCTCGGCGGGTGCACGCCCTTCCCTGCGCGGGGCCACCCGCCACCCGCGACCCGCGGTGCAACCAGCACGATGCAGACGCAGCAGCCCGTGCTCTCGGCAGGGCCACAGGGCTGGGGGGGGGGGTGGCCACACACAGAGCCCGAGGGACCGGGGACCCACTGAGGGTGGCTGCGCGAAGGTCAACAGCGGGCAGGACGGGGAGGGCGCCCGGTCGGCCCGTGAGGGAGAGCCGTCAAGCTGCGGCGTCGGGCGGTGCGCCCGGGACCCAGGCTGCGGCGACCTGCCGTCACCTGCTGAGCCACGCCGCTGCCGTGCGGTGCCGAGCGCAGGTCAGGAAACCCGGCCCCACGTTCCCGTTTTTATTCAGAGAGGAAGGGAAAATTCTAGACTCGAAAGGACCAGAGCCCAGGCTGTAGAAGGGTCAGGTGAGCGCTGCAGAGGCGCACCCGGGGACACGAACCCGAGGGTTCCGGCGGGAGCAGCTTCCACCGCGGGGGCCACGAGGTCTCCCGGAGGCGCCGGCGCCCTGAGCTCCGCGTGCCAAGGCCGGCGAGCCCTGCTGGCCCCGGAGCCGTCCAGGGTGGGGACAAGCGGACCTGAAGACACTTGGGCCGGGAAAGCAGAGGCACACGGTCACCCGCACCCGTGACCAAGCAGCTCAACGCCTGTGCCCACGGCCGTGTCCGCCTCAGCCGTGCGGGCGACCAAGCGAAGCCGCGTGCAGCCTTGTGCGAGGGTGGCCCTAGCGCCCCAGTCAGGGCGGCCGGGGGGCGGTGGGACCGGCTGCTTTGGGCAGCGCAGGGCCCTCGGTCACGGGCTGCCCCTCGTCGCCTGGACCCGGCCCCGGCGCGGTGGGCAGGCGACAGTGGCTCGGGGAGGGGTGGGGCCCGGCCGCTGCCAAAGTGCCAGTGCCGCTCCTGGGGACCGCGACCCCGGGCCGTCCCTCTCCCGGCCCCTTAGGCCCCGGATGTCCTCATGACACCCGATCCCCATATCCACACATGGTTAACGGGAAGGGAGAGGAGAACCCGCTCATGGCGCTGAGCCGCGACACCTGGAGCGGGGGACGCACACGGGGGCGCACACGGGGGACGCCGCCCCGCAGCTTCTGGTACGAGTTCAGGGCAGACAGGACGGACACTGGGTCACCGCAGGGCTGCGCCTTCCCGGCCACGGCGGCGTCAGCGTCCCCTGTGCCCCGGCCCCGGGGGCCTCCGTGTCGCACTGAGTGGGAGACTCACTGACGGGAGGGCTGGAGAGCAGGCGCTCGGCCACCTGGGAAGTCTGCCTCAATGGAGAGAAGAGCCCTGCAGGCAAACATGCCGGATAGCGGCTGCGGCTCGTCGGGTGCGACGGGAACCTGCGTGGAGTTCTCGGGGGGATTCTCGGACGTCAATTTTTGAGTCTCAAAAAATCAGAACCAAACAACGAAAACAAGGAGAGAGACACCTGCCAGCAGCGCCGTGCTCTCCTCCCGCCCAGGAAAGCACATGGGCGGCCGAGCGCCCGGGCCCCTCCCCGCAGCCCCCGCACGCGTGGACGGAGGGAGGTGCTTCCGGGGGACCAGCCGTCCAGGGGCAGGGGCAGGTCACGGCCCACTTGGGACCCACATGCCCTGGGGCTGGGAGGCAACCTTGCGGGATTAGGATCCTGGGCTCCCTGCCCCGCCCCTGGGCTCCAGGACCTTCCGGGCCCCAGCTGGGGTCCATGCTGCGCAGGTGCCCCGGGGGGGGCGAGGGTGTAGCTGCCCCCAGCCGACCCGCACCCCAGTCCCGCAGCAGCAAGGTCCATCGGATGCTCAGTCTGCGCTGGGCTCTGAACGTCAGTATCCGCTCCGCTCTCCTGACCCAGGCACCTCTGGGCAGGGAGAGGGCTGCAGGGCCAGTTCCCACCTGCACCCCTGAAGTAAGGGGGTCTGGGGAGCTGGGGTTTGAGCATCAACAGGGGGCCCAGACTCCTCAGCCTCCTGGGCCTTGTCCCCCATGAACGTCCTCACCCCCCTCCCTGGTACTCAGGGCCTAAGGCCTCTGAAGAACCCGGGAGAGCCCACCCCACATCGCCCCAGGGTCATAGGGAGACGGCACCAGGTCCCCAGGTTGGGGGCCCCTGGGCTTCCTCGGCTGTGCTGGCCGCCGTGGGGACCCCCCACCCCCGTGACATTTCTCAGGCGCCCACACTGCCGAGGGTCCCAGGGTCAGCCAGGTCAGCCATCCCCAGCGACCCCTCACCATGCTGCCACGTCCATGCTTCAGGGTGGGTGTCCAGGGGACTGTGCACAGAGGGAGCCTGGGGGGCTCAGACACGCGCCCCGGAGCCCCTGGGACTCTGGCCGCCAACCCCGGCCCAGGACTTCCCAGGACCCAGGATGGCAGACGTCCCGCGACCCCTCAGGCCTGCCCACGCCCAAGGACTCAACCCTCAGCACAACACTCGCCTGGTTCCTAATTTACCCAGAATAACACAAAACATCCCTGCCCCCCCCGCCCCCCGGGATGAGATGTGAGGGTCTGCTGCCAGGCCCTGGGGTCGTCCAAGGGAGGGTGCCAGGCCGGGGTCGGAGCCCGGGCCTCCAGGGTCCCACGGGGAAGAGGGGCATTTGGGGCTGGGGGGCTGGGAGTAGTGCGCCCCGGGACCGCCGGGCAGACGCGCACCCTGGGCAGGAAGCCACCGTCACCATGCTCCGGATCAACTTTAATAAGACGTGGGCGGGACTCGGCCGTCCAGGCGAGAGGCCAGCAGGGTCCCCCAGGGACAGTGGCCCTTGCCAAGGCCCCCCTGCAGGACGCAGAAACTGGGGGACAATTTGGCAGATGGCGCGGCCCCACAGAACATAGCAGTCCCCGGATGGCCGGACCCAGACCCCCGGTGACCTCCCCAAGCCGCCGCCGGGCCTGCGGGTGCCCGCCCCGCCCCGCTAGATCATGCCAGCCAGCCAGGGGGGCAGGAAGAGGCCCGCGGTCCCCAGCAGGCAGACGATGATGAACACCCAGAGGAAGATCCGGTCGATGACCATGGCCACGTACTTCCAGTCCTCCTTCACCTGCAAACAGACACACGGGTCACCGCCCGCCCGCCGCCCCCGGCCTCCTGCCACGGGTGCCTCCTAGAGCCTGACGACCCTGAGGCGGGTTCCGCGTCCCCTCCTTGACACGAGCCAACCCTGCGCGGTGACCCCCTGCCCCGAGGTGGCTGGCGGAGGGGCTCAGGGACGTGGGCTGCCCAGCCGAGGCCTGCCCTCGCGGGGTCCACTGCCACCCCGGCCGGGGGTCGGAGCTGGGCCCACCTGACCTCACCTGCCCGGGCCCCGGGGTCCAGGCTGCCTCACGGTGGAATCCGCTCTCGCTGCAGCAGCTGGGAGGGGCCCCGTGGGAAGCCGCCCGTGAGCCCCAGTTAGCAGATGAGCACAGCCAGGCCCAGACGGGGGACGCCCACACACCCTGGCCCTCCTGGGTCGGCGGGTCTCCTAGCTCTGGCCCTAAAGCCCCTCCAGGGTGGGGGACACGAGCAGAAGGCGGGGGGCAGGCACAGCGGGCCGGCCCCGCGTGGGGCAGAGCTGCCAGGAGCTGAGGGAGAGGCCCGGCCTGAGGTGGGTCCTGCACGCCGAGGCCAGAGGGCAAGCGGGGAGGTCACATGCCGCCCACTGAGCAGGGGCCCTGGGCCACCCCCCTGGGGAAAGGCCGCGGTGCTGCCCACGTGCACCCGGGGACCCCGCAGCACAGGGGGGCTGGGGCGGGCCGCGGTCACGCACCCCAGGCCCCAACCAGGCCGGCCGCTCCTCGGGCCTGGCTCCCGAGCCCCCGCCTCAGCCTCCCCGGGCCCAGGGGGACGGGAAAGGACGCAGCCCAGGGCTCCGGAAGGGGTGGCAGGGTGCAGAGCGCTCTCCGCTGCCACCTTCTGCTGTTTTTTCATGGAATCCAAGACTCCCCGATGGTTTAAAACCAAGCCGACGCCGGAGAGCAGGCAAGGTCACTTATAAATAAAAAGTCCGTGCGGGTCCGTCCATTCTGGGGCGGCCGAGCTGCAGCGGCCTCTGCTTTGTCTCTGGTCCCCTGCGTGCGTCCCCCACCCCGAGGATGAAAGCCTCGCGGACAAAGCCACCCGAGCCTCCGAGGCCCGTCCCCGGCAGCACTTCGCTCCCCGGGGCCTCCGCCGCCTGAAGCCAGAACCAGGTCACGGCGGCCGCACGTGCCCCGCACACAAACGAGGGGCTGGGCCCCCGCTGCCAAGTGCCGCCCGCCCACCGGGCTCCCCGGGGTCCGGGTCACACCCCGAGCGGCTCAGGGCCGCTGCCCGCTGCTCAAGAGCTGCAGCAAAATGAGGTCGAGAAGCAGCTTCTCCCAGGCAGACCTTCCAGAAACCTCCAGAATGGCTCCCCTGCCTCCTGAGGTCCGGCCGGGCGTCTGGGGAAGCGGCTCGGCCGCTCGCAGGGCCCCCTGGGTGGTCCAGGGCCAGGGCCGTGACCACGGTGGACGCAGGGACGAGGAGGAGCAGCGTCGTCACGGCAGGACACGGCCGACGAGGACCCGGGGGACACCGCGGGGCAGGGGCTGGGCCCAGGGCGGCGTGCTCTCCCTCCCTCTGCCCGCCCCCTGACCCGAGGGCTGCCCCCCAGCCTGGACCTTTGCAGACACCCCACGTCCCTCCTGCTGCCCGGGGTCCCCGGGGCCCAGGTCCTGCAGCTTGGCCGTATTACCGCCCCTTCTCTCCAGCTTGACATGTGGGGTGCTGGCCCGCGAGGCCGGGCTGTGCCCCAGACACAGCCCCTACCCTCCCCCTCTCCCGCCCCTGCCCTCCCCCTCTCCCACCCCTGCCCCGGGGCGCAGCCCCCCCCCGTGCCTCCCCAGAGGCACTCCAGTGGCCAGCGACTTCCCAGGCCAGGCCTCCCTGTGCCAGGCTCCCCGCCCTGGTGACACAGGACGCCCCTGCTCGCACCAGCCACACGGGGCCCCAGGGGCCACCCGCAGGTATTGGATGCTCAGGGAGGAGGGAAAGGACGGGTGGGGGGGCTGCAGGTCCCCCAGAGCTCAGGGGCCCAGTGCTGGGTGTCGGGGGCCACGCCCTCCTCCCAAGAGGAAAGGAAGCAGCGTCCCCCCAGGGACAGCGCCAGGGACACCTCCAGACCGAGCCACAGGCGGACACTTACCGAGAAGTCTGTGTCCTCGGCCTTCAGATGGTCCGCGATGTACTGGATGCCCTCCACCGCCCGCGTCAGGGCCGGAGACAGGGGCAGGTGCCGGGGGGGCGCTTTGGTGCCCCGGGCTTTGGGCACGGCGCTCGGGGACGGCTCCTTCTTGCACCTGCATTTGCAGGGAGAGGGCTGCTCTGGGGCCGGGAGCTCGGCCGAGCTGGCCTGGAGCAAGGCGGGGGAGCCGGCCACGGGGCCCCCAGCTTCAGAGGCGGCGGCGTCCTGGGGACCGCCGTACTGGATGCTCCGGGACCGGCAGCGGACGCCGTCCTCCGCCCCTTCGGGAGGGCCGGACACGTGCTGGACACTCAGGGACCGGGCTTTGGTGAGGGGGCGGCAGGAGTCAGGCGAGGGGCGGGGGCTCGCTTCCTCCGCCTCTGAGGGCCGCAGAGCAGGGGCCTGGCCCGAGGGCGACTTGCAGGCCGGCGGGGACTTGGCCGGCTCATCCACGGGGCCGCAGAAGGACGGGGAGCGCGAGGGGCCCCGGCTCTGGGTTCCGCTCGGGACGCCGGGCTCCCCCTCGGGCTCGGGCCAGAAGCCTGGGGCGCTGGCCATCTTGTGCATGGATTCGATGAGCCGCCTGCAGTTGTCCTTGACCACGGACGGCCGCTTCATGAAGAGCAGGCGGGGCACGACGTCCAGGAAGACCCGGCGGACCCAGGCGGGCATGGTGTGCGTGCGCGGCGAGCGGTGGTGCACGTTGAGCACGAAGACCGTGATGACGATGGACAGCGTGACGAAGATCATGGTGAAGAGCAGGTACTCGCCGATGAGCGGGATGACCAGCGAGGTGGAGGGGATGATCTCGGTGATGAGCAGCAGGAAGACGGTGAGCGAGAGCAGCACGGAGATGCACAGCGTGATCTTCTCGCCGCACTCCGACGGCAGGTAGAAGACGAGCACGGTGAGGCAGGAGATGAGCAGGCAGGGGATGATGAGGTTGATGGTGTAGAAGAGCGGCAGGCGCCGGATGACGAAGGCGTAGGTGATGTCCGGGTAGACCTCGGCGCAGCACTCGTACTTCCTGGTGTTGTAGGTGCCCACGGCGTCCACGATGACCCACTCGCCGCTCTCCCACAGGTCCAGCTGGTCCACGCGGCTGTGCATGCTCACCAGGTCTATCTTGGCCTTGTCGTACGTCCAGGACCCGAACTTCATGGTGCAGTTCTGCTGGTCGAACGGGAAGAAGGTGACGTCGATGCTGCACGAGCTCTTGTAGATGGCGGGGGGTGTCCACTGGACCCGCCCGTCGTAGAAGAGGTGGGCCTTGGTCAGGTGGGTGACCGCAAAGTCCCCGTCCGCACTGCGCAGGAAGAGAGGGGCGTGAGACCCACCCGCACCGCCGCCCAGCTCTCTCGCACATTCTTGCTTCACAGGGGAGCAAAGAAAGGCAGGCCACTGGCCAGAGTCGGGGCCCGGGGGCTGGCGGGTGGTCCCGGGCGCGTCACCCATCCGCCCCCGCTCATCGCGCTGCCCTCCACGGCCGCCCCTGACACAGCTGCTTGTTGGTGACCATGGTGGTTGCTCGGCGGGCCGGACAGGGACCGGGGCCATGCACCTGCCAGCACCAAGGGAGGAGGCGCCTGGTCCCTTCCTGTCCGGGAGCTGGGAACCAGCGGGCAGCCTGGAAGGGACTGAGGTCGGGGAGCTCCTGTCCTCGGCACGACTCTGCAGACGGAGCCCCAGGCTCTCCTGCTCCTCGGCCCAGGGCGGAAGGCAGGGGGATGGCTCCTCAGAGGGCCTTGGCGCCCACCACATCCCTATGTCCCGTCCCGGTGGGCTGGGGGGCCGAGCAGCCCCGCCTGGGACCCAGAACGGCCCGCCTGGCCGCTCATGCCATGCAGACATGAGGGCACGGGCACGACAGTGGCTGCCGGGCAGCACGCTGCGGAACTTTGCCAGGTCCCCCGGGACAGAGCCGAATGCCCTGCGGGCCACCCTGGGGGCCAAGCAGCCCCACGTCCCGCCACAGACCGAGTGTGCCAACACCTCCGAGCACCTTCAGTGCTCTCTCTGCATTATCCCCCCGGCATGCGGCTCGAGCTTGGGGGAGACCCCAGGCCACCTGAGCAGGAAGGACAGGGCCCCTCTGGCCACCCGCCCTCAGCCTCAGGGTGTTGGTGCCGTCTGGGGCAGGCTGCGGGGCTGCCGGCCCTGGCCCCGGGCTTCCCTCGGTGCCCCCACAAGGACACGCACGGCCGGTGCATGGGAGCCCAGGGACACCTGCTAGCAGCCACCACCCTGAGCCCTCACCCCTCACCCCTCAAGGGCTCCAGGAGTCGGCCCGGCCCTGCTGCGCAGCTGGAAGCCCATGGGTGCCAGTCGGGGTCCCCAGCAGGTGTAAGCTGAGCTGTCCGCTGCCCGTGGGTGGGGCCCACAGTGGAGGTGGTCGCTGGTCCCACGGCTCGGCTCTGAAGCGCTGCTGGGGAACCTCCCCACGGCCTCACGAGCCCCAAGGACAGCACCCACGTGCCCCATGCCGCCTTGGCACAACCCAGGGGCACCGCCGCCGAGCCAGGGAAGCTGCCCGGCCGGGCCCCAGTCCACCCTGGCTGCCAGCTGCTCCCCTGGATGTGAGTCAGGTGCCCCACCAGGGCCTCAGAACCCGGCCTTCCGAGCTGCCCGCACCCCTGCCTCCCACACCCACCACAGCCTAGAAGCCCCAGCCCAGGGGCCACCTCCCCACGCCTGACATCCAGCTCAGAGGCCCCCGATGGCCTCCGTGCCGGTCCGGTCCTATGACCTCCACGAGCCCTTCTGCGCTGATGTCTAGGTCGGAGGCAGGCGGAGACCTGCAGATGCATCCACGGAGGAGTGGCAGGGGCTGTCCACTCGGGACCCACAGCTGGACTGAGCGTGGGACTGAGGCTCTCAGGGGGGTGCAGGACCGTCCCCCCAGCAACATCGCTCCAAACCCACAGCCTTGCCCTCTGAGGCACAAAGCAGACGAGCAAACATGGCTCAGCAAACATTCTGCAGGGAGATGAGAGGCTCCAGTCAGCGGCGCGAGCCCAGGTAGCCCAGATGCCCCAGGAAAGGCAGGGAATGTTCCAGAAGTTCACTAAAAGCAGCCCCAGGACTGGGAATCTGCGCCCGGGTCTCGGGGGTTCAATGCCACAGACAGGACGAGAGTTTTCTCCTGGTGCACAGCCCGCTGACCCCCATGGCCGTGGCCCCCGCCTCGTGCCCCCAGCCCGGACCTGGCCCAGATCCCCGAGACACCTCCCAGGAGGGCGTCCACCCTGGGACTTGAGGTCTGGACCTGCGGGCAGACGCTCCCCGTGAGGCAGCATCTCACGTCCACCGCCCACTTGCTCTCGGAAGGCAGCCGAGCGGCCGATCTCGCCCGGGGCCTGGGTTCGAGGCCCCAGCTGGGCGGGCTGAGGTGCGGGGCAGGGGAGAAGGCGCTGGGGCGAAGGGGCGCACCTCGAGCACGTCCGGCCTCGGCCCTGGAGCTGCGGCCCCAGCAGAGCAGAGGAGCCTTCCTGGCCCCGGGAAGCCCCGTCCGCGGGGCTGTGGGAGGCCTCGCGAGACCCTCGGCCCCAAGTGGACAGCAGGGCTCGCATGCACAGCCTCCAACCGGGGCCCCCGCAGCCAGCAGATACGCCAGCAGCCGGGCTGACCGCCTGACCCCCTCAAGCCCACGGCAGCCTGGTCAGCAGCCCCCCGCCGCCCCTGGACACGGGCCCGCTGGTGGCTGTGGCCCGGCCAGCGTCGGCCCCCGCTTGGGACCGTCCCCGGACAGCGTCTGTGCCGACCCCGACCCACAGGGGGGTTGTGAGGCGGCCGCCCCGCTCCCTGGGCCGCAGTCCTGGGTTCCGTCCGGGTCCCAGGCCGCTTCTCAGCCGGCACCGTGTGCCCGGGGGGGGGGGGGGGGGGGGCAGAGCTCGCGCCACAGCACGATGCTCCCGGCGTCCCAGGACGATGACGCCACTACGGGGTCTCTGAATCAGCCCCTCCGGGAAACGGGTGCTAGGCGGGGAGCCCAGGAAGGCTGGGGCGGCGGGGGGCCCCCAGGCTGGTGGTTGGGGGGCTGGTTGCAGAAAGCAGGGAGCCTGCCCTGAGGGAAGAGCAGCTCACGAGCGGACCCCCCCACGCGGCCCGAAAACCATCAAGCTCTCCCCGCGGCCATTCCTGGAATCAGTTCCGCTGGGAGAGGAGCCCAGTGGTTGTTAATCAAATAGCAGCGCTTTATAGGTCAGGCCCAGCGCCCGGGGCCTGGGGGGCGGGGGGCCCAGGGACCTGAGTGCTTCCATCTGCTTGATCTCTGAGCCCAGGCGCTGCTGGCCAGGCAGGGACTCGCGGGACACGGGGACACAGGAGGGCCCGGGAGCCCCCAGCAGGGGTCCCGGGAAGGACAACCGCAGCCCCTTGGCCTCGGCCACGCCCGCCAAACGCGGGCTTCCCGGCACAGAATAAGCCGTGGACGTGAGCAGATTCAGAAGCGGCCACGACCGACCGTGACCAAAGGGGCCGGGGAGGGGCCTGGGCCGGGGAGAGGTCCCCAAGGCCCGTGGCGGGGGGGCAGTCTGGGAGCTTCCTGTGGGGAGGACGGTGCCCCCTGCCCGCCTGGCGGGGACGGACCCGAGACCCCGGCCCACACTGCACCAGGGCCCCGGCCCCTGCCGCCCCCTAGACCCTCCGGCCCCTCCACCCCTCCCTGCTCCCTCCTCTCCCTTCCAGAGGCTTCAGCACTGGCTCCGGAGGGTGGAAGGGGGAGCGGGGAGGGGGAGGAGGGCGGGGGAGCCCACACAGCCACCGCCTCCTGCTCACGCCTGGATCCCCTGCGTCACTGCACGTGGACACAGGTGCCTGCCGCCCCAACCGCTGACCTCCCCCCGCTGACGTCCCGGGGCTCACTTGTTGTAGAGGACGATGTCCGGCCGCCAGATGAGCTCAGAGGGGATGCGGATGGAGGTGACGTTCTCGTAATCGGCAGGGTCCCAGCGCAGCTTATAGTCGTGCCACTCCTGGGCCAGGGCAGGGGGAGGCCACGGTGAGGGGGGGGGCTGGGAGGAACCAGGGGTGGAGGCCCCCCCATCCCCGCTCACTCACCTGCTTCACCCACACGTTGGTGGTCATCATCTGGTTCTTCTCATCCTAGGACACAAAGGTCAAGGGCAGCTGTGACCCCTGGGTGTCTCTCCCCCTCCCTCTCTCTTTCTCCCTCCCTTTCCCTCTCCCTCTGCTTCCTCATCTCTCTCTCTCTCTCTCTCTCCCAGCCCTGAGTTTCTTTGCCCACAAAGACAGGCCTCAGTTGAACATGGGGAACAGGTGACCCCAGGAAGGAGTGAGTCCCTCATCCCTGGAGGCAACCAAGTGCAGATGGTCAGCCCGAGGGGACGCAGAGGCAAGAAGAAGGACCCTGAACCTTTCCAGAAGGACAGTGGGGACACGGCTTGTCTGACTTCGCAGGTGGCCCGGGCCTGGCCCTCCCCCAGCCATGGTCAGACGAGGGGGGTGCACAGATGGCCCCCAGGCCGCGGGGGGAGCGCCTCCCTCCTGGACCCCCGCCCTCCTGGGTGGACCCGCCCGGCTGGTCTGCAGGCTCCTAGGGGAGAAAGTACCTGCCCCTCCTGCTGCCACGAACGCGACCCTGGGATGCACAAGGTCCCACCCGCTCAGCCCGAGACAGCGGCCCCTTTAGGGCCTTTAGGACCGGGGGGGGCTGGGGGGTCCGGGGCCTCGGGACCCTGAGGTGGATGAGTAAGGGGCTGGAACGGGGAGGTGGAAGCGGGAGACCCACTGGCTCCGTCTTGGCCACCGTGGGGTCACCCGTCCAGGTGGGGAGGTGGACCGCACGTGCTGGGAAGTCCCGACCAGCCAGTGTCCCCACTGACCCCCGACTCCCGCTGGTTAGTGGAGCATCCGACAGTGTCTGTGGGGGAGCACGACAGGCCGTCCCCCAGGCGGTGAGAGCCCAGCACGTGCTGAGGCCTTTGGGAGGACACGAGACTCCACGCGGGGACACGGGGCCTGAAGGGACGGGAGCCTCGGGGTCCTCACAGCCCCTCCGTGGGATCCGTGGGATCCGTGGGGGCTGAACGCTGGCCTCTGGGAGCCATAGCCACGCCCCAGCCCCCTGGGCACCCACTGGAGAGGGGCTGGCCGCTGGGGGGAGGAGCGCCCGCCACCCACAGAGGCCTCCCCCAGAGAGCAGCTGCCCGCGCCTCTGCCCCACGGGGAGGGGGCTGCACAGGGGTGGGGGCCGTGCCTGTCACGGCCCAAGCTTTCCCCTCCATGGCCCGGGACCAGGAGCGCAGGCCACCGGGCAAGACCACCGAAGCCAAAGAAAACCAGGGGACCATCGAACGGGATCGGCGTCCAGGGCCTGCATGGGCCGGGGGGGCTGGGGGGTCTTGTGCTCCAAAGGCGCAGGCCTGGGCCCTGCCCTCCCACCTCCCCCGGGGGATGAGGACGAGCTCCCTGTCGGCCAGTTCAGGGAGGGGGGACCGGGCCTCTTGCCACCCCCAGGCTCTGCCCTTGACCCTGCCTCCCCTGAGCACCCAGGGTGGGCCACCCAGCGGCCTGAGCACGTGCCCCACCCCAGCTCCGCGGGCCCAGCTCCGAGGGGCAGGGCCCGGCCGGCTTCCCAGGCCCAGAAGCACCCGGATTCCAGGCTCCCCGAGGCCGTGCGCTTGCCCTGCCCGGACACAGGCCCTGCAAACGGACAGTGTGTGCCACCCCGACCACCCACAGACGTGCCGTGGGCCTCGGGCCACTGCCCAGGACGTGTGGAGGCCGCTCAGCAGCTGGCACACGCGGCCCGGGCACGGCCTGTCCCCGCTCCACGCACACGGCCCGCGTGAGCCCCGCGTGTGCCCCGTCACCATCTCCTGGGCACGCTGGCGGCGGCGCAGGGAGGGGACCAGCCCCGAGGAGCCCAGGGGAAGGCCAGTCGCTGCGGCTGACGTGGTCCCTGCGCCCCTGAGTGGCAAGAGCCCTGGGGGCACAGTCCACAGCCACTTCGGCCACGTCTGCAAAGGCCGGGGGGTTCGGAGCGCTGCACCCCAGGCGCCAGAAGCACAGGGCAGGGCCCCCTCGACGCCCAGGTCCAGGAGGCCCGAAGGTGCCAGTCGGGACACCACTGAGGACAGAGCGACCGGTGTCCCCTCACAGGGCCACAGACAGCCCTGCTGTCCGTGCAGGGGGCCGTGGGCCTGCCCCCGGGGCCCCTCAGACGCGGCTCAGCGCAGCTCACAGGTGAGGAGCCCGGGGCACACCCGGTACCACGGCGGTGCCCAAGTGCCATCAGGGCCTGCCGGCCGCCCCCTCCTCGGGCTCCTCCACGGGGGCGTGTGGGTGGTTCAGCGCCAGGCCCGCCTCCCCTCACACGGGGGTGCTCCCCAGGGCGAGCTCTGCTGCTGCGGGGACACCGAGGCTCCAGGCGGCCCGCTCCGTCCCCCGCACCTACCACGTCAATGAGCTGCGCGATGGACAGCCCGAAGTGGACGAGGACCACGTCGGAGATGTTGGCCACGGGCCGGGACCACTTGTTGTAGCCAGAGAAAAGCGTCTTCAGCAGCCGTTCCTCTGCGTGGGCCCGGGTCTCCACGTGGCTGCTCACTGTGGGGACAGAGGGTGGCAGGCGTCCAGGCAGGACGACCAGCCCTGGCTTCCTTCCAGTTCCACCCACCTCAGGACATTTGCACATCCTGCCCCAGCCCTGGCCTCGGTTTCCCTCCTGTCCTCTGGGTGGAAGTGTAACCTCCTCAGGGAAGCCCTTCCAGACCCCTCAGACGCCCGCACCGCACCCCAAATACAGACAACCCTGCACCCCAAATACACACAACGGAGCTGCTGAGTGCTGACTCGGCTTACTCTCACCACACGGGCCTTCGGGAAGGAGGGGCTGAATCTGCAGCTACTAGCTGACTTCTGAAAACCTTGCCTGGACGCCCAAGGTGAGGGTAACCGCAGGACTCCCGGAGTGGGGACAGGCCCTGGGGGGGGGGGGGAGGCCCGGGTAGGGAGAGGCCCAGACTGGGTCGGGGTGAGAGCCTGCTTCCTGGGGCTGCAGCAGCCCTGACTGATCACCCAGGACCCCCTGTTCTCTGACAGCCTGCCATGGGTCAGGGGTGACCCCACGCACTCTGCTTCCTGGGGAGGGGCCGCTCTGGTCCAGGCCAACCCCCTGGACCCCTGCCCCCGGGTCACCGCATCAGGAAGGGATTTGGGGGTGGGAACAGGGTCCAGGTGCCTGCCCCAGGCCCGGCCCTGCTCACCTGTGAGTCCCGCATGGGGTGCTAAGGGGGGTGCACAAGCGCCCTAGGTCAGTGTTAGCCCCCCCCCACCCTTCACTCTGCCCCCAACCTTATTCTTCCGGTGGGGGACTACTCCTCCCTGGGGAGGCCGAGCGCCCAGATTCCCTCCATCACCCAGACCAGCCCAGGGATGGGGGCGCGGGCGGGGGGCTGGGGGAGCTGAGGCTGTAGCTGTCCCGGGAGCCTGGGGGCGCAGAGCAGGGGCGGGGGGCGCCGCCAGGGCCGGGAGCCCCCTGGGCTCCCCCAAACCGGGAGGCGGCTGGGGCGTCTGCAGGGAAATCTGCCTGACGGATGAAGACCGGAGCGACGGCCCCGCCTCTCTCGGCCCAACTTGGAGCTGCCGGGTCCAGCTCCCCGGAGGGCCGCCCCCGCCCCCACCAGCCCCTCTCGCGGCTCCGGCTGCGGCTCCGGCTCCGGCTCCGGCTCGGCCCGTTAACTCCCTCCTGGCCCGGCGGCCCCGCAGCACAGCCTCTGCGCCTGGGGGGCGGGGGCCTCCGCGGCCAACCCGCTGCGCGCACCCGCGGCTCGGGACCGCAGCCCGGGCCTCCCCCCTCCGCCCGAGGTCCGAGGCCGCCCTGACGGGGGACACGGGGCCCGCCCGGCGCCCCGGAACTCACCGGGCAGGAAGCCGGCCCCCAGCAGCAGCAGCAGCGCCGGCAGCGGCGGCGGCGGCGCCCCGGGGCCCCCGAGCTCCATGGCGCACCGAGCGGGCTCTAGACGCGGGCGGCTCCCGGCTCCGCCGCGGCCCCGCTCCCAGCCCCGCGCGCGCCCAACTTCATGCCCCCGCGCCGGCCGCTCCGTCCGTCCGTCCGTCCGTCCGCGCCCGGCTCCGCCGCTCCTCCCGCGGGCGCGGCGGCGGCGACCCGGCCGGGAGCACCGGGCTGTGGGCTCAGCGGCGCGGCCCCGCCCGGCCCTGCCCGCCTCCAGCCGGCGAGGAGGGGGAGGGGGAGGGGAGGGGGAGGAGGGGGAGGGGAGGAGGGGGAAGGGGAGGGGAGGGGAGGAGGAGGGGAAGCGGGCGGGACGCGGCGGGGAGGGCGGGGGCAGACCACCCGCCTGGAGGGGGCGCGGAGGCCGCTCGGCCGGCAAAGTTTCCGGGTCCCCGGGGCTGGGGACGAGCGGGCCGCGCGGGCGGCAGTCACTGCGAGCGCCCGGGCCGTCCTGGCGCGCCGGCTGGGGACCGCGGCACACGGACCTCCGCGCCCGGCCCAGCCCCGCGCCCCCGCCGCCCGCCGGGTGGGCACGCGCACCCCGGCCCGGGCGCCCCGCAGGCGCCTGGTTAACCCCATCGCCCCCGCCCGCGTCGCAGGTTGGAAACCACAAGCCCCTCGTCTGCGTCCCGGCGAGGCGGGGAGGACCACGGCGGTCCGCCTGGCCCCGCGGACGGGAAAGCGGCCGGTGGGGAGCCCAGGCGTCCTGGACACCCCTGGGGGGAGGGCGAAGCGGCTCCGCAGCCCCGATCCCGCCGGCCCCGCGCTGTGGGGACACGCTGAGAGGCCGAGGGGCAGGGTCTCGGCGGCTGCGGGGCGGCCGGGCGCCAGCGCGCAGGTCCCGCGGGCGCCCGCCCCAGCCCAGCAGCCCGGCCCCGCGCTGCCCCGGCGGGGGCTCTGCCCAGGCGGGGGCTCTGCCCAGGTGGGTGCAGGTGGCCGCCGGCCGCGCCAGGTGCCCGAGGCCGGCGGGGAGTGGCCGCTTTGTGCGCGCAGCCGGGGTCTGCGGCGAGGAGAGGGCGCCGCTCGGCAGAAACGCCCGCGGCCACCGCTGCGCCGGGGCCCAGAGCCCCCACTCGGACACCCCGGGCACCCGGGTCAGCGATGCGCGCAGAGCCGAGGCTGCAGACGTCCGCGCCCGCCCTTGAAGGGGCACCATGTCTGCCAGGAACCCCTGCCTCCCTCCCCACGCGCGCACACGCGGGGGCGCTCGGGGTCACCGGCAGCAATCCCAGGGGCCCCTCCCCCCTCCATCTCCGCAGACCCCTCCCAGCTGGCCTCCCTCCCCCAATCTCCTGCCCCTCCCCGTCCCCCTCGCCTCCCCTTGTCTCCTTCCCCTCCCCCCGTTCTCCCTCCCCATCTCTCCTGCCCCACCCCCCTCACCCCCTGCCCCTCCCCTCCCCATCTCTCCTGCCCCTCCCCTCCCCATCTCTCCTGCCCCCTACCCCCCCAGCCCACCTGCACTCCAGGTTGAGCTCCTCACACCTAACACACCTGCTCTGAGACCTCCAGGGCCGGCCTCAGCAGTGATAGGCAGTTACCCTATTCGATGGGCTCCTGTTCTCCCTGCATCGGGATGAGGAGGTAGATGCACAGAGAGGTTAGGCCACATGCCCAAGGTCACGCAGCAGGTACAAGGTTTCCAACCCAGCCCGCCTGGCTTCAGGACCTTCAGTCCTTGGGCAGAGCGTGTCCCAGGACTGGCCTGTGGCTCCTCCTGAGATGGCCTCCTGGTAGCACCCCACGGTCTGTCATTTCCTGGGGCCAAGGGAAGTGTGGACTGCCTTGCCCAGCACATGGCTCTCCCTCAGAGACCCCCACAGACCCTGGACCTGGTCTGGTTGGTGTCCTGTTCCTGCAGGTAGGACCCCTCACACCTCCCTCTTCCTTTTCACAGCCAGCAGCCCCCCAGCAATGCCAGACCCTGGATTCCTCCAGAATCTCCACAAGCCAGCTCCATGCTCATCATGAGAAGGTTCACCGAAGCTGATCAGAGTTGGATCGACCCAGGGGTGGTGCACAGCTGGGCCCATGCCTCACCTGGAGCAGGCAAAGGCCTCCTCCTCCCCAGGACACAGGCCACAGGAGGCTCAGAACCTGCCAGAGGCTCCCACTCAGAGAGGGGACCAGGGAGGGGACAAGCGCAGCAGTTGGGAGAAGCCGTACGTAGCCGTAGCCCGTTTTCACGTCCGGTCTAGAGAAGTCCCCTGTGCTGCCCCAGAACGGCCCTGCTTGGCCGCCTAGAGCCAACTCCATATTCCTTGGTTAGTAACACGGTTGGCCGTATTCAGGGTCCTTCCGGGAGCCTCTTCCAACCATCTCAGCATCCCTGTGAAGCAGAGGTCACATGATACTTGTTTGTCGACCTAGGAAGGGGAGCCATACACGGGCTTGTCACCAGCTGATGAAGTGACCTTTGCTTTGTCCCATTGTCCCGCTGTAGCAAACATGACACCTCTGGGGATGAGAAGCAATTATTCCTCAGGACTTGGTAAAGTTGGGTGCTCTTGCAATTGTCAGGCTGGGGTCAGATGAGAAAGGTTGGGCATAGGGGGCTGGGCCAATCTGAAGGCTTCCTGGAAGAAGGAGCACACAGGAATGTAGTTTCAAAGACTCCTGAGGAGGCTCCAGCCAGGCCCCCAGCCCCGGGCAAGGGTTTGGAGTCAGCCTGGCCTCCTGGCCTGCAGCAGGTGCCGCCTATGGGGCGGGCGCAGGGAGAGATCCCTTGGCTCTGGGCAGGGGCCTGCAGCAGTTGGCAGGCCAAGTCAGCTCTACCTCCTTTCCCTTCATCTTGACCAGCTCCAGCGGCCAGGAGGGTGGCTCTTGATGGCCATTCCTACGGGCGAATCCAGGCAGGGGCCCAGCGGGGGCCAGCAGGCCCGTCTCCCTGGTGCCCGGGGCCAGTCTCTGGCGGACTGGGCCCTGTGGCTGGCGTGCGCACGCTCACGCACATCTGTCCAACCTCATTTGGCTTTCCCTGCAGATTTGCTAATGCAGCAAGATTAATCGGGTCTAACTCATTAATTTGCCAGGCCCTCCCTCCCCACCTGCACCCGCTGGAAAGCCCTCCTTGCGGGAGCCTAGAAATCATCATCGTAGCACAATTAGACTTACTCCAGGCCCAGCCCTCCAGCTGCTCTTTAGACTGCTGTCTCAGTGGAAAGGAAAAGCCCCAATTGACAAACAAATGAGACCAGCCCTGTGTCACACAGCCTTTGTGGCAGGAGCCCTGTGTCCTCGAGGGTGATCCCCTGTGGGGGCCAAGGGGAAGAAGGATGTGGGGCTGGGTCCTCCAAGACCCCTCCCCAGACTCACCCCCAGCCAGTGTCGGCGAACACCAAGGACTGCTACCGGCAAAAGTGGAAGGTCATCTCTGCAGGAGCAGCCGGCCCCCTCCCTCCCGTGGCCCTCTCCACCCTCCACCCTGTCCCAAGGACATCTCCATGGTAACCAGTTGGTGGCAGAAACAGGGACTTGAATTAAAGGTGGGAGATTCAGCGGGGCGCCCAGTCCCAGCAGCACGGAGAAAGAGGCATCCAGGCCCCACTTTGATGGGGGCTGGGACGGGTCCCTCAGGAGCAGGACCCAGGGGGCTCCAGGGGACCCCTGTGAGAAGGGGGCAGCGCTGGCAAGCTCAGCCTGGATGCAGGGGTCCAGCATATACCCCCACTACCCTAGGAGACCTCCAACCTTTCACGAACCACATCCTCCATCACACCCCAGGCGACACCGTTCCTGATGTCTCTCCGTTCTTTCTAGGGTCAGCAGATCCTTCAAAACCCAAATACCCCTGAGGAAGGGGGCACACGAAAAGTACAGTCAGTGCTCCACTGTAAAGGAACATTTTGGAGGTGTTTTCCCTTGCTCCCCCACAATCTACCCCAAAGCCAGGCTTTGTTTCTCTCCTACGACTCCTCACCACCACATGGGGTCTCCCCCGACCCTGCACCTCTGCCAATAAAGTAAGTACAGAGGGGAGGCTGTAGGCTTTGTACACAGTGTCTGGCTTTTAGTACAGTCTGGGTAAACATGTTAAATGCAAGGATGAATGGATGGATGGATGGATGGATGGATGGATGGATGGATGGTGGAGGGTGGGTGGAGAGTGGATGGTGGGGGGTGGATGGTAGATGGGTGGAGGGTGGAGGGTGGAGGATGGGTGGTGAATGGGTGGATGGATACCTATCAAAGGGCATAAGGAAAGCCAGGCCCAGAGTGGGCCCCAGTTGTGCCTCCCATCGACCCCACTGTGGCCTGGCCCCTGTACACTCAGGCTGAGAGGATTCAGGTGTTTGGGGTTGGTCCTGGGCTCACGGAGAGGTGACATCTGCCTGGAGGGAGGAGTGGTCAGGCAGGAGCAAGGACGCTGGGAACGGGGGACCCCTTTCACCTCATTGATTCCCTGTCATCCATCAGGAGGGGGACAGGAGTGAATCAGGATTTAGTGGCTCTCACTGGGCCTCAGGTCGGGGGTCGTGCCTGCCCCCTGGCTGCCCTTGAAGCACTCCTCCCAGCCGGCCCCTCCCGGTGATGCATGGTGGACCGGCCCCACCAGGGCCCCGGCTGGCGCTGGCTGCCCTCTCCCTGGGGCCTTGAGCTGGAGCCCCTCAGCAGGAGCCCTGGCCCAGCGCACACCGCCAGCGAGTCCACCCCCCGCCACGCCGACCACCCGCGGAGCCGAGTCCTCTGGGCCGGGAGGCTCCCCCGCCCACCTCCCCGCCGGCTGCGTGCTCCCGGCTCTCAGCACCGCGGACAGCTCCCGGCACGGCCCTGGCCACGCCCCCTCCAGCCACGCCCCCGCCAGGCCACGCCCCCGCCCGACCCCGGCCACGCCCCCGCCCGCCCCTTACGGAGAGCGCCTCGCGGGTCCCTGAAGGCCACGCAGGCGGGCGGAGGGGGAGGGGGAGGGGGAGGGGGAGGAGGGGGGGAGGGGGAGGGGGTCGCTGTTGAAAGACCCCCGGATGCTCCCCGGGGAGAGGAGGGGGCGGTGCC